CTCTCTTCTCTCTTCTCTCTTCTCTCTTCTCTCTTCTCTCTTCTCTCTTCTCTCTTCTCTCCTCTTCTCTTCTCTCCTCTTCTCTTCTCTCCTCTCCTCTTCTCTCCTCTCCTCTTCTGTCCTCTCCTCTCCTCTCCTCTCCTCTCGTCTCCTCTGCTCTTCTCTTCTCTTCTCTTCTCTTCTCTGTCTCTTCCCACCTCTGCTTTTCCATCTGCGCATATTGTCGGAAGCTTGATTTCTTACCTTCCTTTCGGCAATATTAGGTTTTTTGGGGGGTGCATCCCATATACGAGGTGTCTCATTACAAATATGTGCACACATATTTTTGGGATATCCAAATATAGCTGAAGAGACTGATCGGTTATTGCCAGCTTTCTGTTGCGATGCGCCCTCAAGCAGAGAGTTTTGCAAGTGCACCACAGTAATGCAGCAAATGATGTCACCCTCATGGGACGGGTATTGTGCAGTCGTTCTATGAATGATTTTTTTTTTTTACCATCAGCATCTGGATACTTTTACTGACAATGATCCGCTTAAAAATAATAGACAGTTCACATACTGCCCCGCGGTGATAGGGGATGGCGAGTCAACCGTTGGAAGTCACACTGTACCATTATCCGCTGACCCGATCGACTCGTCCCTTGTGGTTGCTCCACGAATTGGGTGGCAAGGTCAAGTTTACGTGCAAACGCGTGGAGTTGATGAAAGGGGAGGCTTACTCGCCAGAATTTGTACGGATGAATCCGAACCATGCTCTTCCGGTATTGCTATATAAGGATGATTCTGGAGTTGAACAGGCTCTTTTTGAATCTTGCGCCATTGTGGAGTTCTTGACCGATGCGTTGGCTGCTGGGGAATTAGCCCCGCCAATTGGGATCTCGAATGGTCGGGCCGAGTACAAGACGCTTTCCCAAAATGTTTGAATTTAGTTTCTTTAATTTCAGAAACTATATAATGACGTGTCATTCGGGAAATGGGCACGTCGTTTGGATGTTGCGTTGTCCAACAGGTTAGCTTTGGTGCAAGCGTGAAAACTGTCAATGGTATGGTAAGGTATGGTATGAGTGAGTCAGAACGGTTGAGAGGTCATGAATGTACGGCGATGTCAGCTTACGGAACTAAGTAGAAAGGTGGCCATTGCGATGGTGCACCCAGCATGCATGGACCTTCGAACAGAAATTGGGATCTGAAAATCTATTTGGGGCATATTGGAACCACTTTAATGGGGCTAAAACTGGAGGAAAGTGTGGCAAATGGATGCCATAGGAGCATGTTACCTACAGATGGTTTTTCATTTTATGCGTGCGCGAATAGCTACATATTCTAGAAGTGCTCCAAAAGTGTTTGCAGCTTTGTTCATGACATGAACGAACGTTCCATCCCAACCAAATGTTGACAGGATAAAGGAGGCAATCGCCAGTGAAGTGCAGCAAGGGTAAGACCTGCACTCAGGAAGTGGCTATGGTTCGCCGGGAGTTGGATGGACCAGCTTTTGTGGCAGTTGCGTCAGCATGACGAGTCAGGCATCCTTCCTTCTGATCAGAAGGATAGCCGAGTGGTTGACCGCACCAAGGGCAAGTGGATCAAGGACATCTGGGTGCATGATTGAAGCATGTCAAAACCCAAATCGTTTTGCAAAGGGAAGAAGGGGAAACTGGGAAACTAGAAACCCGTTTTCACACAGTGTTCGTTGCGGATGCATGAACAAAACGCCCAACAAGCAACCAGCATCCCAGTGCCAAAAAACCTTTTCGCGCATGAGATGTCTTTGCCAACTGCTTTGACGCAACCAGACTTTTTTCTTTCACCTCCACCTGGCTAGGGTACATGCTTATCATGCTTCATGGTGGCTGTGGTGGTTGTGCTTGTTTTTCCCAAATGTGTAGCGAAGGCTTGTCGATTGTATTTCGGGGGTCTGGGGGTGGAGAGGTGATCGCTCGACACTGCTTTTGTGTTCGCAACCGTCGGCAACCGTTTGCAACCATTCGCGATGATTGAACTATGGCCGTGCCTCTGGCGACTGGTGCAAAAGTGGTCACATTTTGAAGTTTCAAACGTTGCGTAGCTTCATTTCGTGTTGCAGGCGTGGCACTTCGTGACATTCCAGCATGTTCCATCAGGTGTCAAAAGTCGTTCTGTGTGACAGGCGCAATATTTTTTTTTAACGTCGCTTTCAGAAGCGCAGTAGTGTTGCGTGTCTTCATGAATCGCGTTGTGAGCGCTGCGCCGGGTGGTGACAACCTGCGAATTCTGTGGCAGGTGTGGCATTTTGTGGCATGTGATGAAAATTGACGGGCGCTTCGCATGAAGCATCGGTTTTGAGATCGTATGAGGTTGTAGATTTTGGGGGTTGCAAGAAGACTCGTAGGAAAACGTCGATTTTGTAGCTACAAAGTGTGAAAATTTAAAGGAAGTCTCGCATGAAACGCTCGAGGCTCCAACATGTCTCCTCTCGATTCTCTGGTTTTCTTGTGGCGTCACGGTGCCGATGGGGGAAGCTGCAAAACCTTTCAATTCGAAGGTTTCAAAAGAGGGTCTACTATCGTTTTGCGTGGCAGGCGTGGCACATCCTGATATACATACGTTTCTGAGAAAGTGTCGAAAGTCCTTTTGTGTCACAGGTGCAATACTTTTGCAAGGTTTCCAGAAGATGAGTTGGATGTTTCATTGCAGGCGCAGCCTTTAGCGCAGATCCGTTCTGTGTGGAATGTTACACTTTACACTAGAGACACTCCACACTCCACACTTTACGCTTTACTCTCCACACTCCACACTTGAGACTCCGCACTCCACACTTTACACTCCACACTCCACACTTGACACTCTACACTTGACACTTCACACTCCACACTGTACACTTTACATTTTTGTACTCAACACTCTACACTTTACACTTCACACTTGACACTTGGCGCTTGACACTCCACACTGCACACTCTACACTTCGCACTCCACACTCTACACTTTACACTCTACACTTTACGCCTTTACGCTGTACACTCCCCACACTACACTTTCCACTTTCACTCGGCACTCTACAGATTGCACTTCACGATTTCCACTTGGCACTCTGCGCTTCACATTCCACACTCCACACTTTACACCCCGCACTCTACACTCTACACTCGACAGTCTACACTTTACACCCCACGCTTCGCACTTGACACTCCACACTCTGCACTTTACACTTTACACTGTGCACTCCACACTCTACACTGTACAGTCCACATTTCGCACTTTACATGTGACACTCCACGCTCCACGCTCCACGCTCCACACTCTACACTTTACACTCCGCACTCTACACTCTACAGTTTACGGCTCACGCTTCGCACTCGACACTCGGCACTCGACACTCTACACTACACTCTACACTGTACACTTTGCACTTTACACTTCGCACTTTCCACTTTACACTCCGCACTCTACACCTTTCACTTGTCATTCTACACTCCACACTCTGCATTTTACACTTTGCACTCCACCCATTACACTTTACACTTTACAATTGGCACTCTACACTCTGCACTTTACACTTTACACTTCGCACTTTACACTTGGCACTCCACACTCCGCACTCTACACTTCACACTTTACATCTCACATTTATATTTATGCTTCACACTTTGCAGTTACACTCCACGTCTACACTTGACATTCCACACTCTACACATCACACTCCATATTCTACACTTTGCACTCCGCACTTTCCACTTTACACTAGACACTTCACACTTTACAATCCCCATTTCATACCCAACAAACTACATCTCCCACTCAACACCACCACCGCCTTCACACTCCACGCTCTGCACCTCACTCCATTCCACACTCCACAGCCTACACTGGTACGGTAGCAGGGGAAGAAGGTACAGTACAAGACTGTTGAAATAATTTGTTTCACAGAAGTGCCTTCGGGTTCGTTGGTCGCTCTTGTTTTTGAAGGCTCGAGTTTGAAGCATGCATAGAAGTTCTTCCATGTCTTCTGCTGCAGGAGATCGTGCCACAAGTCGTCGCTCAACTGGAGGCAGCAGTGGCTTCACGAGGGTAAAATAATTTCTGCAATATCCGGGCCTTCAAATTACGGCAAATATTTGAGAATTCGGGTGGCTGCCAAACGCACATGCAAGATCCTGGCGAGCAGCTCCGTGCAATTGGTTGTGACACTCATGGAAATATTGGAAATTCCAAACGAATTGCCGGACTCGAACAGATGTGCGGAAAAACGCAACCCACGTCTATTTCCAACGTTTCTGGCGTTTGCCTCCCTCGGATGTGTCCATGGTACAAACCTAGATACTGTAAGCTTTGGATTGAAGGAACCTCTGTCTCACGTAGTAGGGCGTTGCCTGATGGAATCTTAGCAGCTTCAGGTGAAACAAACGCTCAAACGCAGTCGCAACCTTCAACAGAAAGAACTTGGATGGAACTGCTTGTGCAGCACCCAAGAACACCAGCTGTGTGATCCGTTTCTATTTTGCAAACAAACATCACCCCTCAGGGAATGCAAAGTTGACTTCTGGCTGTAGATTGCATGTTGTACTTTAGCCCCTGTGGCCCATTGGTTTCCAACCTTTTGTTTTTAGATTCTAGATGTTTTGGTGAAGGCCAAAGGGAACATGTACATCCTTGGGGAGAATTTCACTGCAGCGGATATCATTGTGGGCCACTGTTTGCGGTGGAGCAAGGCATATGGCCTTTGTGACAACGAGGTGAACTGTGCTAAGTTGGGTTTGAGTTTTGCCTTTGAGATGTTCACTGCGGGTGGAACAACTTTAGATAGGATTTTTATGCAGACTCAGGGAGGCTCAAAGACGACAAATTTCAATTCTACAAGGTTTCAGAGTTCGACAAAAAAACTTGGATCAACAGGTCCAAGCCTTTGTTCCTTTGTCCCATCATGTTGGTTTCCCCAAACTTTGCTGGCTTCTAACAGCATTTCGAAGAACCACACTAGCGTGGTCCCCAGCAGGTTCTGACCAGATATTTGGCCCGCCTTGCGGAGAGGCTTGGGGTGAGTAAAATTCTGTCTTGTTCCTCCATACAGTCTTGTGATTTGTGCATGCGGCATCATTCAAACAGATTCAAACATGATTGCAATCCACGGTGTGGAATCAACAGTAACTGCGTCTCCTTCATCCATTTAGGTTGAGGAATGAAGGCTTCAGATGGTTTCATCATGTTTTAGGGGTTGCATGTTTCTCGAAACTGTGTCCTCCATGAAGGCCTGCTTATCAAGCAGCTTTTCAAGATGCTGCAACCTTCGGGAAGTGAGGTCAGCCTCTTGATTTCCCTATCGTTGCAAGTCAAAAAAAAACATTCGGACCCCTTGCCAAAAACATTGAGGCTGAAAAATTATAAATCGATTGCCTTGCTAGAAAGAAAAGACAACGTGTTGGTGGCACCATCAAATTGGGCCTCTTTAATTCTCGCACTTACCACGCCGAAACTCACACCCAAAGTGGTTGAAGTGGCAGAGGTGCAGGCCAGAAAAGTTGTGGTATGCAAGAGTCTATGTGATTTCGATTCACGAGGGCCCTAACAATTGTACCTACTGAAGAGTATTTAAGAAACTTGAGGTCGGCATTCGAATCAATTGGATCCAGCCTACACATCATTCAGTACCGTTGTGGGCTTGCACCACTACTGGACATCGACAGTGTCACAGCCGCGTCACTGGCATTTTCGTACTGAACAGTTGCTGAGATCGGGCTCGCAGCTCAAGCTTATTAACCATGGCTAACCTAGCTGGTTGCTAGATACATTTTCTTGTTCAGCGCATCCACTGGCTCAGTGAACCAGGTTAAACAAGTCAAACTGTGGATGAAAACGGAAACATAGATTACCTACCCCAGCACATTTGAAGCCCAGCTGAGTCCGAACCATAGACAGACCAAGAGTAAGCTCCAGAGAAGCTAGCCATACTTGACTGTTCCTCAATTTTTTCGCGCTGGAACAGCTTGCTGTAGGCTTGGGTCTTTGGTGAACATTGTGCTCCATCTCACAGACAGCAGACGTGGCTTTTTTGTTGCTGATGTGCAGGTGGCATGGTCAAAAACGGTGGGACAGCCACTCCTCCTGAAGAAGGTTCCAGGGCTTTGCGGTGCTCCGAATCAGCAAGAATGTTAGATAAGTTGGAAAGTTTCGATGAGGTTTCTATGAGGTTTCAAGGTCGGGTGTGCCAGGCAAAGACGGCGCGGCAGATGTGCCCTTCTCAGAGCAGACCGCGCGCAGCACGCACGCACACGCACGCACGCATGCGCGCGCACACACACACACGCACCGCTCACATCTCTTGCAAACATATCTCTGCGCTTGCAGAAGTGGTTTGCTCGGGCCTGACGCCTCTTGTGATATGACATGCGTGGAATGTTTGCATTGCAGCGTTTTTCAAAGCAGAGGGTTGCCATTGCCCAGCATTGACAATACTCGACGAGAATGTGTGTCAACATGTGTCAACCAAACTTGCTTTCATTTCCACTGTAATCATTTAGGTGTGTCTAGTCCAGTTTGAAAAGGTGTCCAGCAAGCCCAGCTGTGAATTCCAGCAGTTTCCATGCCTTTATTGCCATGGGTTCAACGGACCCCACTCCTCGCTTGCTTGCAATCTATTGTCCCCTGCGACTGGGCTGCAATCACAAGTTGTGCAAGGTACCATAAGTTGTGGCAGTGGCGGTGGTGGTCAAGTCATGAGGATGGCACTGCTGCTGATGCTGATGCTGATGCTGATTCTGCTGCTGCTGCTGCTGCTGGTGGTGGTGGTTGTGGTGATGGTGATGAGGATGAGGATGCGGACCATAGACCATAGGCCTCATGAACTTCTTTCTTGTTGTGGCAACAAGATCTTGCTCTGAGTTTTTGCAGTTTCCAGCCAATGCTTCATGCTATGCCTTTTTCTGAACTGAAGTGCGAGTACAGCAGTTTTGTTGGCCCCATGTGCTGATTGGAGATTCTGTTCTGCTGTTCTTAGCAGATTTATGAGCTGGTTTGCAGTCAAGCATCCTCCGTCCTCGCCGTGCCAGGAAGCTGACAATTTTGAACTGGAAGGGGGATGAGGTGCCTGGGTTTGGATCATATGGTGCCTATGGCCAGTTTCAAGCAGTTTAGGAAGTGGCTACAGCTCAGGAACAGTGGTTGGAGGGGCCCTCCACCCTGCCAGGGCAGCGTCGAATCCCTTGGGGTGCCTTGTCAAACAGAAATGGTTGGGTCAACTTTGCAGCAATGTTTCATGGAGCTATACCAGGCCCTAGGCTGTAGTTCAATTGTTTAAGTGAAACATGACTTTTGTTCAAGCTAGTCTGGCAGAAAACTGACGGCCAGCTTCCATGATGCCTTCCATGATGCCCAGAGAGAGAGAGAGAGAGAGAGAGAGCCAAAACTATCGATGCAGAGACGCACATGCTCCAACCCTGTAAGGAAGAGAAGTGTTCCTTGAGCAGCGAGACTTTGTAAGTGAAAAACTAGTGGCAAGCAACGGTGAATCTTGGCTAGTTGTTGAATCATGGAACACCATGGATCTCTCAGCACTACAGTTTTGTTTTTGGTTGAAAGGCCAGTCCTGCGGCCCTTGTTGGAAACTTTGCAAGCTGATTTTGTGTGCAATCGTATGCCTGCAGCCTTGTGCTGACCAACCATTTCTCCGTTTGCCAAGGACGGATCTACTGCACAGCCACGTGGCATGACTTAAGTGATGAGTGCACACAAGCGACCGGGAGTTGCTAAGGCTTCTGGCTGGGACCAATGTGCGATTGCGCCATTCCTACGTGGTTTGCCTTGAATCTTTCAGAGAGGATGATTTTGGGAATGCAGCTTGGCCATGCTTGGCCCGGTTTTCGTACTCTTTTTGAAGGATTTAGTGGAGAGCAGAACGTTTGCAAGGAAAAGTCAACCAAAAAAAGGCACTGCTTAGACTATGCATCACTTCTGTCTTAGCGGTGTATGAAAACTCAGCGGGCTCAGGTTGCTGAAGTCCTTGGTCGCTGCAACTATGACAGTCTTGGGGTGCCAACTGCTCTTGATGGAGTTGGGCAGGGTCCAAAGGTGGTGCAGCTTGTCAAAATGATCAGAGTGCAAGGAGTGTTTTTCTATGGGTGCGTGACCATTTGGACTTATTGGCCTTGTCAAGACACTTAGACACTGATTGCCAGCCGTCGAAAATGAATTGTAAGGTATAGGTATATCTGTGGGAATCTAAACCACTACCGCGTCCCAAACAGCAAGCAATTTCTCAAGGTACCAAGAGGTATTTATTTCTTGGAGAATTGCCCTGAGCTTCGCAAGGTCCTGGGTCCATGCATCGTCAAGGATGCACATACAGGCCGGTCCAACAAGACCTTGTGCAATCTTACTGTCACTAGCCAATCTGTGGCAGGAAATCGTCACAGCTGTGGCTAAACTTGGAATTGGGAAAATTGTGAGGTCCCTTTGGTGGAGGGACCTGCCAACTTTGTGGCAACTTACTGGCCTCAAGGCAAATCGAGCTCTGACTCTTGGCGCCCGAATCAGATGCCCAGAGGTTTTGCAGTCAAATATGCTGTCTCTAATTGCGTAGAGGCAAGGGATGAAAGCTGGCGTGCACCATATCGAGGTGCCAGAAAGCACTATGTTGTGTGAACCCTGGCTCTCCAGCATCATGGTGACTTGGATTGTTTTGGGCACAGCTGTTTGTCACAAATGGCTTGCGCCGCACGCTATAAAGAGGAGGTTTTGTGACTTTTGTGTATGTTTGGTTTGATCATTGATATAGTCCTTATAGTCCCCAGAACTTTCTGAGGCAAGCGGCTATGCAGATTGCCCTTCGAAAGCTGGAGGCCTTTGCATCAACACTTTTTTATTACATTGGAATCATTGGAGCATGTCATATTTCGGCTGGAAGTGTCGGTGTCAGGCCCTATACAGCTGGAGCGTCTCGGACAGTTCCGAATATGTCCTTTTCAAGGGCACACCGGTGACAGATGTGATAGCGACAGGCCAAAATATGCCTTGCAGTGCCTTGCAGCTTGGCTGCCGAAATTCTGCACAGCACCAAAGCCGGGCAAACGTCAACGGGTTCCTGAGTCTGTGCTGGCAGCGGCAGCAGCAGAAGCTGCAGCTAGGAAGGAAGCAATGCAAAAGGCTTCACGCGAAGATTTTTCATTGGAGGAACCATTGCTGATGGTTTGTGCGTGCGATCGCTGGGATCGAGTTTTGGCACTTGATTTGCAAGAAGCATGGCGGGACACAGACACTTCAATCGTGGAGGTTGCGCCTGCGCTGTTCCGTGTTCGTGGTCAAGTGCCTGCTTGCCCCTGTGATGAAGTGCTGACCGCACCTTCAAATGACCAGGCTGACCAGGCTTCGCGGATTTTGCCACAAGGAACCTTTGATCGGACTTGTGTGTGGCATGCTGCTGGGGTCAGGCGTTGCCTTCAGCTGCTGACACTGCCATCCCGTCCAGCTCAGTTGATCGAAGCCGTTGCGGAGAGCAAACTGAACTTCCCTGGTGGTTGGAGCCTCGAGCACGAAGGTTCTCATCCAGTTCGCTACGAGTCGCTTGCCCCGTACACGCAGTCTTCGGGTTTCCTGGCGGCCAGTCTTGGGCGCTCCATCTCAGGCCCCATGATTCCCATGATTCCCATGATTCCCATGATCCAGGGCGACCGAGACGAATCGACCGAATCGACCGAATCGACTGCAGCGACTGAATCGACTCGCTTGGTTACAGTGGAAATGATCAATTCTCAGGGGCTGCATTTTCTTGCACGTGATTCTCTAGATCGTCATGGCTTCAATCAGTTCAATCCAGCTGTATTTGGCTCGATTTGGAGATCCCGGCCGTATCCAGACTACAGTGCTGCGTTGGAGCCTTTGGCAGCCCTGGCTCTGGTAGGAATAGGCTTGCGGGTACATCACCGCTTGACAGGGAAAGACCCGCATGCCTTTCTTGATGTAACCTGTGGAACTGGGACAGTAGCAGCTGCTGCCAAGTACTGCGTATCCACGTGGCAGATTTTTGCCGGGGATGTCAATCCTACCATGTCCAAGAGATCATTGTCGAATCTGCAGGCTGCATTCCCAGGTCAAGCCTATGAACTGCTTGATGAGCCATCAACTTCAGATCCATCTCCAGGTCTAGGCGTTAGACAATGGGATGCAACCAATCCATGGCCGATTCCCTCAAGAGCATGCGTCGCAAATGGATCAAGTGGTGGTGATTCTGGTGATGGACTGTTGGTGGCTTCGAACCTTCCCTGGGGCAAGAGCTTGGACACCCAAGTGGAGGCTGCCACGCAGGTGGCTCGATGTTTGGCCGCAAACCTGCCACGTGCAACGCTCTGCCTGATAGCTCCAGAAGAGGTTGGCCGCAATTGTAGCGATTGGTTTCAAGTGTTGCACTCAGCACCAGCCGGCAAGAAGGCAGTGCTCATAGTTGGTCATGGAATTGCGGCAGAAAAGGACTCCGTACTTGATTGCCATGTGCTGCTGTGCGACCATGTGGTGCATGAGTTGGTGTCAGGGTGACACGATCTCCGCAGGCTTTCACATTTAGCTACTTTAAGAGTGTGACGGTGACGGGAGGTTACATTTCTCTGGTTGAACTTGCTGAATCCAAGGCCAAAGATCCAATGGCACAGTTGAAAGCTCGCACCGCTGCCTCTGCTGTTGGCCCCTAAGATCTCAGAAAGTCTTGGCTTGTTTCTTTTGAAGTCTTTTGAGCTTGCACGATGATCGCGCTGCAAGGCGGAGAGGGAACGTGTTGCCAAGGAGGGAATGCTGCGCTTCAATTTCAACACACCTCTGTACATGGCCACGTGCCCACATGAAAGAGACACACTCAATTGTATGTGAGTGAAAACCGGTGCTTTGGCCTAGGAGCGAGCAGAGCGTGTCAAGGCAGGTGTGGAGGAAGCAAGAAAGAAGAGGAAACTGGAGGCGCATCCTCGGCCACAGTGATTCGCTGATCCAGACAATTCCAATGGCAGGAGCGCTGACTAGTTAATAAGATTTGATAAGTGCGGGAGGGCAAGGATGCAGAGCATGGCCTCGTTGGATTAAACTCCCTTGAACTCAGTTGAGGAAGTTGGTAGGACCTGGTAGGATAATTCTGCGCACATGCGGAGGAAGCCAAGAAGGCAAAACAAGAAGCTGCTGCCGCTGCAGCTGCCAAGAAAGCCAAGGCATGGAGACGCCAAGAATTTGAGTGCTGAAGGATGCTGAAGGTTTCTGATACTTTGTGCAGATCCAGATGCAGCAATCAGACGACATACGATTCTGACCTGAAAGGGTGATGATCTCTTGGAAAGTTTGTATGGTGGCCTGCCACCACCTGATCCAAAAAAGGCCGGAAGCAGTGACACATTGTGCATGCAGGCTATGCAGTATGCAAACACAGCTCAGCAATAGAAGTTGCATAATCAGTAGATTGCTTAGCTTGCACAGCATTGCCACGTTATTTGGGACCATTCTTTCAGTCCTGCAGGATGAGGCGCTAGCCATGAAGATTAAAGAGTGCATGGCTTGGAACTTGCAGAGCCCAAAGTGTTTTGCATGAGTTCGCCTGTGTTTTGGATGCAATGCTCGCACACCACCATCTACCCCCGCCGACACCGGCAAGGAAGGATACCTGGAAACAGCATCGGTTTCCACCCTTACCTGACACAACCTTAGAGAATTGGTCGAAAGGATTTGAAGTCGAAATCTCCTTTTTCCCTTGCCGTCTTCTTTCGGGCTTGGCATTGGGCTGAGGTCGAAGATCCAACGAAAGTTATTTTCTTGGATGTGGATGGAGTGCTTGATCCTCAAGTGAACTTTTGTGGTAGTGAAGGCCGTGCTGGACTTACACTCGATTCAAACCGCTGCAAGGTTGCGGCCTCTGACAGCTGGTGGCTTTCGCTCAATGATGGTCTTTGCCTGAGATTAAGGAGTTGATGCAGAGATATTGATCAAGAGTTTGCATAACCCTTTGACATGCGAATTTCGACGTTGTTTTGCATGTTGGTCTCAGAAATTGAAGGCATGCAAGTGCATGCCCTACCAGTCAGCAGAGGTGGATGGCGAATGGGCTCTCCGAGCAGAGACCGCGGACTTTATATCAGGGGCTTTGCTGAAGACTAAGATCGGAAGTGGACATGTCACGACATGTTGACACCATGTTGACACTGTGAATCGAAGATAATAGAAGCAATTTTTGTGATTTTTGTTTCCTTCGTCCCGCTGCAAGCAGTTTTTTGAGGCTAGCTCTCCGGCATATAGTTGAAACCACTGGGGCCATCATTGCATCTTGTCTCAAAATGTCTCAAAATCATGCACTGAATCTGTGAGGTCTGAAGAATCTGTTGACGGTTTGACCAGTGGCAGGTTCTGTCTTCGGAGTGGCGGCGTGATCAGCCCATGCGCCAGAAGCTCAAGTGTTATATACCCAGTAAGTCCACTGCCTGCTGCGGACAACGTGTGTCCTTCGGGTGTTGCTACATAGTACACGATCTGCAGGAGACGGAGTTGATGCCATTTTGACCGAGTATGAGATGCGGCCTTGTTCGAAACTCAGATGAGATAGATGAGATAGATGCGCAGACGGCGCCGAGCCTGAGAGCCTCGCGAACTGCAAGAAACTTCTGTCAGGTGCCACCTGGACACCCACAGACCTGCAACGGGATATGGGTACAGAGAATCCGTTCAAGGTGCCTGATTGTGACATGAGATAATTAGATTAGGGAGATGCTTGGATATTCTTTGGCAACAGAAGACCAAACCTTGGAGTTTCATCTTCGGCCAATGTATACAGCCAGAATTTGGTTCAATGATATTAAAAATCAATAGGTGATATTGACGCGCACTTCTAGCGAGATTGGTCCCTAGCATGTCCCTGGCTTTGCCTCAGACATGACTCTAGACTGTCTAGACAAAATGCAACAAGGGATCGGCTTATGAGAAGGACACATGCAACTGACCCGACCTCTATACCCTCGATACCCACGCATGTCACAAGAAAGACAAGATTGAAGTATGGCAAGTGTTTTTCCAGAACTCGATGTGCGTGCAATTCCATGTGCTTGGAACAAGTTGCTGCCAAGTTCATATGGACTCCAGTGAACGTGTTTGCCATGTTGATCCGCTGGCTGCTTGGGCTACTCCATCTGCAGCTTGCCACTGCTACGACCTTTTGCGACTTGGGCTAGTTTCTGCTTGATTTCTGAGGGTGGCCTGCATGTTGACGCTGCGCATCGCTGCGCACTTTTTCCTCAGACTTATTCAGACGACAGCAGCGCCTGAGGTGACAATGCCACTTCTACCAGCGGCTACTTGGGCGCAGGTCCTGGCACTTTCTACTTCTACTGGCTGGTCAGGTCTGAAAAAACAAAGCCGCTGATCCTGTGGAGCCTTGGCTTTGGAGTTACATTTTTTTCTAAACTACTTACCCACTACTACCTCAATGACATCATCTATTCTTAGTCATCTTCCGAATCCATTTCCTGCCTTTTTTCCCACCTTGTTTGCGTTTGATGCCATCGTTCTCTTGTGCTTGGTAAGGCTTACTGGTGGGCCTGGATGCTCTTCGATTCTAGCAATGCTATCCGAGAATGGACCCTGCAGGGTGAAGGCAGGTAGAACAAACCCATAAAGACAGCCTAAGACAGCTGCCTAGAAAAATCTAGAAAGGACAGCTGCAAAGTCAAGGCCAACCTTCAAAGCACTTGCGCATTGCGCTTCCTCTTGATGTGCCCTTGGAATTTTCTGGATGCATCAGGACGAAGGTGATGACCAGTGGAGCATCAAGAAGAACCCATGGAGCTGGACCAAAGCTGCCTCCATGCTCTGGGTTGACCAGCCTGCTCAGGCTTGGTGCCCGGTGACACATCAATTTGGGACTGAAAATGACCATGTTCCTTGGGATTCTGAATGGTGACACGGTGATTATGCTTATGTCAGAAATGGGATGACCTGTCTTTGAGAGGTTGGCTTCTCAACCGGCGAGCCTGTCTACAACGAAAGAGGAGTTGCTCAGCGAATGCTGAGCTTCATGCAGAACTTCTTTCTGACGTATCCAGACCTTCTGGAGGTCCCATTGTCGCTTGCCTACACATCAGAGCTCATGAGTGTTTCTCTGGCGGTTGCAGCATTGGATGCTGATTTAGAGTTGCTCACCCAAGACAAGACTGCAGGTTCATCATGGGTGAATCCTTCGCAGGCTTGATTTGAGAGTTGGTATCTGCATGTATTTGCAGACAGAGACAGCAAACCAGTTCAAGTCAACGTCATAGTTGATACACCTGCTAAATAATCGAGTACTCCAACCTCTGTATGCCCAAGCATTGCAGTGTTAGAGTTGTCAGGCCACTACGTCCCCAGTGTGGCAAATGCACTCCTTGATGCTGTGGACAGCGGCGTCCACATGGCGAGACCACAAGGTCTTGCAATGGGAAATGCATGGGTCAGTCCGCAAGCGCGTCTTGGCGACCAAACAGTCAGTCCACGAAAGGTCATACATGAATATGTAAATGTTTTGGAACACAAAATTGTTGAAACAAGGCATCTTGTCCATTTGAAACACTTCCATACACTTCCAATGATTCACTCAGATGAGAGCCAGTCGTTAGCATTCCCGCAAAGGCAGTATGCCTCGAAGCCTCTCATGGCCTTCACCGGTGGCTTCGAGGAAGGAGGATGCTCGTCGTTGAGCGGGTAAGGTACACAGCACATATCAGTTTTTCTCACCCCTCGGAGGGACCATAAAGGAGCAAAGATAGACAAGCACTTGTGTGCCATCATACGCTGAAGTTCACTGAAGCAAAGCGTTCCAACCCAGAGGGACTTGAAAGAAGGAGGATACAGCATGTTGACTTAGTTGACTTGACTCATTTGTTGAGAGTGAGGATCAGTCCATGGGATTGTGAACGAGACTGCTCCGCACTTGGTCCTGTGCAGTGTGCTCATAAGCGAATAAAGCTCTTGATTCTTGATCTCAGTTTTTCCGAGGTTTTCAGTTCTATGATGGCAGCACTGCCTGCTTGCCTACAAGGTGTCCAATCGTGTCAGGACAATGGTTGGCTTCCAGATGAATGTCTAGAGGCCTTTGGAATGTGCACGCTTGTAGCAACTTGCTTGCAAACATGCTGCATTGGGCATTATGCCGTGTACACCTCTCACAAGCCACAAGTGATCAAAGCATCTCTTCATTGCTGTGTTTTGGATCTGAACTTCTGAGGAGCTCAAGCCAGAAATCACTGCAGGAAGAAATGCCTACGACAGTCGCAAGGTGGGAAGGTGAAGTTACCTTTGCCAAGCGTTTTGTGCCAATGTACCCCGCAGGTGTGCTATAAAGAAAACCCGGTGCAGTGCTACGACTTCTCAGCAGAGATAGCCTTCTTGAATGACCGAAAGGCTTGCACTCAAGCTTTCTTGTTATGCTGTTGTTAAGATTTGTTGTAGCCCCACAATGCTTCACCGACTTGCGTTTCATTGCCCTCATCTCATGCGACATGCTGCCAAATTGTGGCCCTGAAACAACTCAACAGGTGAAGAAAGCACTTGGAGTGCCAGCAGGGCAAGCTCGATGGAGTCCATGCAACTATGTGACATCACTGGATTTTGCTCGTAGCGGAGACTGGCTTCAGAGTACCAATGGCCTAGTGGCAAAGATGCTGGAGCGTGGTGTGGCAGTTTTGGCTTACTCTGGGGATCCGCCCTTAGCTTTTCCCATCGGTAAGGATAAACATTGGAATTTGATGAGATCTTGCTTTAGTGGATTTTCTTGACTTGAGCATACTTGAGCTTCACTAGCTGAGGATACTGACCTGATGGTGGACTGGCTTGGCACGAAGTCCTGGATGACATATTTATCTTGGTCTGGCGCAAAGGGTTTTGCTCAAGTGACTGAGCAACCCTTTGTGGTGGGAAGAAAGGCCCAAGGTCGCTTTCGATCCTTTGGTGGATTCACCTTTTTGCAGATTTTCAATGCTGGACACATGGTCCCAATGGACCAGCCGGAAGCTGCCCTTGGGATGGTCATGGAATTTGTCTCTGAAGAATCGCCCTGGAGACATACTCGAAGAAAAGCTGTGCCAGTCCATGCTTTCGCACAATCCTATGCACCAATCCTGCTTTTCATGGCTTTAAGCCTCCCAGCTGCAGGTCTCCCAGTCATGATTGTCATGATGTCTAGAAATTGGAGAAAAAACTCCGATTCCAACAGTGGGTCCTATGTCATACTGGACTAAAGTGGCGAACAAAGGCTAGCCGCATTTGAAAAGATGCGCAAGTATGTCTGCTGCAGCCAAAATCCAGAGCAAGAAAGGGGGCGGGGACGGAGGGAGGGAGAGAGAGTTGCTTGGGCACAGACTTCAAATCATCCCTGCTCCAGCAGTAGCGCTTTACATTGTTCTTGCGACCCTTAAGCAATTGAACCATTTTCATGCCTTTAGTCTTCTGTGATTTGGCAGGCCTTTACTGAACGGCGTGCTCGAGAGATCAGCCAGTGGTTGAGCAAGGGCCCCTGGAAGCTGTGTGGGAAAACAAGAGCACAGAATAAGATGAACAATGACCGTCCAATGACCAAACATGAAGTGAGCCCCGGATAAGATCAGAATGTTCCCCTAAGGCACCAATCCGCAGGTCAAACAATGGGTTGGGATCCTCAGTATACACTGCACTGCGTTCACTGCGCCAGTGATTCCAACCACTTTCAACCGACACAGTGCCTGCGAGGTGGTCATTGATGACATTAATATGGCGGATGCAGACCTGGAGAGGGATCCAGGGCCTCCAATTGGCCAAGCAAATCCTTAAGATTGGATAGCTTGGCCATCAGCATGTGAAAATTCTTATGCAGATGCATGTGCACATGCTCTGCTGTGCGTGTATCTCTCCCCCTCTCTATACATGTATTATATGCTCGTTACATGTGCATGATAATCAGAACATATCTTTGCGCGTATAGCCGTCAGGTCTCCCACGGTAGAAGGATGTACCAGACACTGTGTGAGACAATATGCTAAGAGTCTTTTCCGATGCTGGTTGATATTGTGAGTTTGGCTGGCAGGACAGAAAACCTGGCACTTTGCTCATGGCTCCACGAATTGTGCCGCAGCCAGATCACTAAGCGCCCAAAAGTATTAAGTATATATCCCATGAAAACCTGGCAATCCCAAGTCTAGCATTTTGTACTACCTTCCCGCGCGTTCTAGTGTGGAACTGGTTTGCTAGCCTGGTTTTGTTGGGGATACATGAAATCTACGACTTGATGTGCTAATCCACCTCCGCAACTTTGCCACGGGCTCGTCACCCAGCTAGTCCCAGTGGGATAAAAATACACACACACACATACACACACACATATACATATATATAATTCTTTTCACAGCTACTCCGGCCACTCAGAGAGGTGCAGACTCATCGCAAGATCGGGTCGTGTTCTGAGCCCTTGGGAAGCCAAGCCAAGCCGAATCTCGGGACGACTGTGGGGTCGCTTCGCGACGGTGCGCCAAGGCTCACCATGGAACAGGCCAAAGCGGCGGTGCGACTTCTGCGAGGCGAGAAGCTGCTGGAAGCTTAGCAAGAACCAGCATCCTGCTGCATTCTGCTGCATCCTGCTATGACTTGCTGATTCACTGATTGATAACTGATCAGCCAGCATGAATTGATTCTGAATTGAATTATGAATCATGATGAATCATGATATCAGTTGTGATATATTGTGATGACTGATGAATCATCAATTTTCTGGATTTCCATGGTGCAAATCTCATGGTCAATTTGACAAGGTCTCCGCAGATATTGCCTGTGCAGCCGCAAGTTGAGCTGGTGGGTTGAGACAGAGTTTCAAGCAACTCATCTGAAAACAGAACGTCAGAAATGAGAGAACTCAGAGAACTCCATTCGTTGCTTGATTGCTTGATTTTCTGGCTTGACTCTCAAACATGTCTCCCGTGAATAGTCATGCAGTTGCTTTTTCATCCTGGATATGTTCGATTTCATGCAAGACGCGGTGGGATGGTATTGCACCGCACGTTTATCTTCTGGCATGGTGAAACAGAACGTTTTTTTTTTTGGGGGGGGGTTATGGTGGTGAGAAAGAGTGCTACAGCTGCTAATGCAAGTGCATCCCACCTGAGGCCATGCGGGACGAGATTCCATGGATTGAGTTCAAGCGAGCGAGATTTCACACTTATATCGGCCTAAGAGCCAGTGCCAGAGCTATATATGTTGCTTTTTATTTTTGATTCATTGGGTTGAGAAAATTGGATGCATCCAAATTTCAGTTTGAATTGACAACATCTCGATAAGGCAACCCATCTAAATCTCCAGACCCAGGCTGGGGATGTTTCCAAAACGCTGGGCTGCTTCCTTATGCGGTGAGTGTGTCAACCATGGACCTAAATAGAGAAACTGGATGAAACTGGAGCCTTTTATAGCCTTTTGTTGGTTACAAATATCTGAGTCATATCCTGTACATTAAAAAACTGTGCCGCCAGGGAGCTGCCTGGTTTTAGGATTTCAAAAGAGCAGTCCGCTGGTAGAAGCTTTAGCTTTCGGAAACAGGTCAGCTCTGTCTGCTACAGAATTCCACATGGCGTTTTAGCGATTTTTGGAAAACAACAGGTGAAATTGCCATCCTTGCCACCACCCAATAACCTTTCCATATCTTTTGCGAAATTCCCAAGATCCATCAGCCAAGCATCATCTGTTGGCAAGCTTGGAGCAGAAAAAATTGTTTCAAAAAGTTTCAGTATTGTCAGAGAGATGTATTCAGAACCTCCTGAATGCGGATTTCTTTGCAGTGCTCCTTGTCATGACTGACGATTCTTTCAATGAGAGTGGCTTGCGCTCCTGGGATAGACTTCGGGGCCGATTGAGGGTGCTTTTACGAGGAAGAATTGCAGCTGGTGCATTGTCACCTGAACCTGAATTTGTGTATCACATTTGTGTGCGGCATGTGTCGCTGTGTTTGATCTATCTATCAACCTATCCTCAGTTCTCCTGCTTCATCCAGTGTTCTAGAAAAGGAACTGCTCCTGTACGCACGTGTTAGCGGTTCATCGTATCAGGACCCTCACGTTGCAGATTTCCACTCCTCTTACGCCTGGATGTGGATAGCGGATATGCACCGTGCATCACGATGATCAGTCAAAAGGGTGTTTTGCATGTGGCATAGCAAGGAGATTCCGTTTGAGTCAACCATGCGGCAACGTGCTTGAATTGCATTTGCCAGCATGAATGACAGTGCTTTGAGTGCGCTCACTGCTGCAGCTCTATGCCGAAAATCGGTACATTATGACACTATGATGTCTCCTCTAAAAACAGCACAACCTTTTGCAAGCTGTCACTGACTGAGAGACATCAGTACACCACTGACCACTGAAAGAATTGGAAGTAATCAGCTGGGAAGCTTCTTCAGAAAAGCTACCAGATGGGCAGAATGTCTGCATGCCTTAGCGTGCTGCATCTCATTCATCAAATGCAGCAAATGCGTGTTTTTAGTCACCTTTGAGTTCAGTTAAAATCTTCAAGATTTTGCGGTGGGGGAACTTCAATTTTGGTACTTGCACACTCTTATTATGGAAAGCACCGGAGTCCTAGAGGAGCCTGTTCTGCAATTGGACTCTTCTTGCATCTTGTTTCAATGTGCTTGAAAAATTGGCTGCCACTTGAGTCATTTCCCAAACCAGGTTGCACTCTTCTGACATTCTTAGGCGCTGCGGCGCAATCGCCCTGCAGATGCCAAATGCCGCTTTGATAGAAGTGGATACAGTGGATACAACTGACATCAAGTGTCAGAAGATTTCCGGAATCCTGCACCGAACGCCAGCACTCGCAACTCGATTGTGTAGAGCTTTCCAGGTGTGGACTGTAGCGCGGACAGGCCCGAATGGGCTTCCGCCCTTCCCTTAGATTACGGTTTGCTCATGTTTGCTCTTTGGAAGTTTCGCATTGACAGGTCGTTGGCATGGCGAACTCAGGTCACAAATGGCGTTTTTCTTTGCAGTGACCTGAGAGCTCACTGACATGGACAGTTTTGGATGCTCCAGAGATTCATGTTTTGTTTTCGTGAGCTACGTCTGGAGCTTCATTCGTTGGGAGGCTTGGCATGTTCAGGGAGGCAGGAGCTGATACTGCAGTTGTGGCTGCTTAGCGCATGTTCTTAGTCAAATTGTTTACTGTTCACACAGGTTCAGGTACTACATCTTCTGCTTCTTCTTTTTTCTTCTTTGTTGCATGCTGCAAGACTTGTAAGTGTTGTAAGTTGCCACTGGTGTGGTAGGCATCGGGGACTTGGAGTCCACATCAGCTTTGTCCGGTCGGTGTATCGAACTCAGACTTGGGGACTTGGGGACTAGTCTTAGTTGAAATATGTTGAAATATCCCTTGGCCAAGATGGGCAAGTCACACGTTTGCAAAACCGCACCTTCGACGTTGTCAAAGGACGATGGATGCCTGGAAGCCTGAGCAGCTCAGAGCAATGGAGTCAGATGCCCTGCACGAAAGTGGCAAATGGAAAAACTTGACTCAGCCCATGTGATGCGCACTAAATTTGTTGTACTGATCTTTGATTCCAACTGGTAAGCCGAGTTGATTGAATCTGTGGTAAGGCTGGGCGGAAACGAACTTTTCCAGCACATGCTGCAGGAGATGGGACCCAAGATTGTGCACTGAAGGTGTAAATTCCAATGCGATCGATGTCAGAGTCTGAAGGAGAACGGCTTGCTAGGCGCTCTTCTTTGCTGCGTGACATGAGGGATGGATCATGGATGGGTTGCACGTGCCACGGTCACTCTGTGCTCTCTGTTGTTCATGTTCTTCGCCCGGACAAGTCTGCAGCACAGACTTGGAAGAGGTGTAGTCCCTGATTGTGCAGCTGCAGCATTGTGGCTTTGCATCAAGTGGCTTAGTGCCGAGGAGCCGTAACAGAATGTAATGTAAGAGATACAACATGATACAACAAAGGTACATCAAGGAATTATATAGATTATATTTAGAGGAGATTGGATTGGATTAGGTTTTATAGATTGGCTTAGATTAGATTAGCGTACACACACACACACAAGCCCCTTTGCGGTCACGAGAACCGCGCTCAAAAGGCGAGGAGCCTAGCGCCCCCCGCTGCTCAGTTGTGCGCTGGCCATTGGCGTGGTGGCACCCGTGGGGTACGTTGCCGTGCTGCGGCTCCGAGTTCTTCGACATCACGCTGCTGCTGGGCCTATTTGTGCTTCTGCTGATCATTGCTGGGGGTGGGTTCCCCGATCAACAGAATTTTCCACTGACCCTTGGAACTTTGACTCCAGACTTTTGGGGTTATTTTGCAGGGTGGGCTCCTGATTTTAACGTGATTTCTGGCCCTGTGGTTATTTTTCTGTTGGAACGCTACCTGGTCTTCTTCACCCTCCTGCTCCTTCTCTGTTTTACAACCTTCCTGCTGGCTAAAGTGCCCTTGAAGCGTTGCGGAGTATATTGGTATCATCTTGAACGATTTCAATTTTGGCAATTTTTCTCTGCCTGGAGCACGAGGAGGACCACGATTTTGAGTGCACATTACTATTCAGCATTGACTGCGACCTGGTCCCAATTCCAGGGGACACGCGTACAACACAGTGGCAGGACAATCTTGCGACATTTGTTGATCCTAGCAATCCTGACGGCTTGCGTGTCTTGGGGTGAGGGTTTCACCATTGCTATGGATGGTGAGAGAGTTCCTCTGGAATTATTTCCACTGGTAACGAAACTACATAGAGAGGAGCCTACAGCGGTCTACGGACCAAAACGCTATGCAAAAACGACGGTGAAGAGAAGCTTCAAGAGGGCGGTCAAGCGCTCACAGATCTTTGGGTTCACCTGGTACCGAGGGCAGTTATTTACTTCACCTCAGAGATCCAACTTGCGATCGTCGACTCCATGCATTGAAGCATCTCCACGACCTGTGCCTTCTCCACCCAAACGGCATCAACGACAACGGATGTTGTGTATGTCTTGGAACAGTGGTGGACTTGCACAGGCTACGTGGGACATGTTTCAACAATGGGCTGACAATCAATCCTTAGATTTCATCACACTACAGGAAACCCATTGGCAATTCACATCAGAATGGTCACAGTCTCAATATCATTGTATACACAGTGGATTTTCCAGTAGACAGGCTGGCATCCTATGCATGATCTCCAAACGAGTATGTCAGGCACATCAGTTGTCATGGACGGAAATTGAACCTGGATGCCTGGTACACATTCGAATACATGGGAAGACTAGAAGTGTTGATTTCATTGCCATTTATCAGCATGTCTTCTCAACCGATCGTTTGATTCAGCGTCAGAGACTCCTTGACAAACTGAACGATGTCCTGTCCAAACTTCCTCAACGTAATTTACTGGTTTTGTTGGGCGATTTCAACACTTCTCTGATGACCAGATCGAAAGTGGTGGGCACGGGCACGTTCATGCACAATGGCAAGAAACTCACAGGCACGACACATACTGATTCACAGGATCTCCATGATCTACTTAGACAGCACTCATTGTTGGCATTGAACACATGGATGACAGATAATTGTGCAACCTTTACACATGGCAATGTTTCATCCAGGCTCGATTTTGTGTGCTGTCGACAAGTTCATGCTGATCTCACCGCCAAACAGGTCCAAACCTTGCACGATTTTTGCATGCGCAGTGCAACAGGGGCACATCACATCCCTCTTTTGGTCTCGGTCCTCAGGCGCTGGACACCACCCACACAGCAGACGTATGCCAACAGCTGGACCTACAGGCAGAGGCTGGAGTTGCATCAACGATGGCTACATCCAGATCCACACATGCTAGGTCTGCAAGAGGACCTACAGTCCAGGGTGGAACAACTGCCTGATTCTGATAATCCTCTTGGGGCTCTACACTCAGCCATGAACATGATCAAAGCTGCAGATTTCAACACCACCAGAGCTGCTCCTCCAGTTCATCGATTTGATTTGACACCGTTTCAGGCCTTTCAATATCATGAACGACGTCTACGGGAGCTGCCTCTGGATGGTTGGGAACCCACCACATTGCTGCAGGCTTGGTTTCATCTATGCAAGAGACAACAAGCACGTAAACAGATGAATTCCACAGCCAAACAGGCAAGGAAGGCCAAGATGCAGAAAGTCTTTGACCAGGCTGATGCTGCCGAGCGTGCCAAAGATCATTTCAGATTGTATCAAGCAGTGCGCACCCTGGCACCCAAACAGAAGTTACAGAGGATTCAATTGCGACACAAAGATGGCACTATGGCCAATCCGACTCAGGCGGCAGACATGCTACAGAGGTGGTTTGCTGACCTATACAATGCACCCAGCTCAGATCATGATGCCATTCCTTTTCATTGGCCGTTTTCAGAGGATGATTTATTGAAAGGATTTCTACAACTCCCATTGATGAAATCTTTGGCACCATCATTTGCTCCTGCACCGGTGTGGCGCATGGGGGCTTGGGCTGTTGTGCAATTTTTGCAACCATTGCTTCATCGTTGGAGTGCTTCTGGCAGGTTGCCGCGAGAGTGGAGTGATGCCTTTTTGACCTTATTGCCCAAACCGGGTGGCGTCGGAGGAGATCCTGCCTCATTGAGACCTATCTCTCTTTTGGAACCCTCTGGAAAGGTGATTTTAGGATTGGTTGCAAAGTGTCTCCTGCAGGAATCTTGGTGGCTTCTTCAAATGGTACCACAATATGCCTACCTCCCCAGGCGTGGTTGTTCTGACGCTATAGGGCGCTTAATGACCCATTTGAGAGAGGTGAGATTCAGATTCACAGAGTTGCAGTACCCTGTCCATCGAGCGGCATCAGGAGCACAGCAGCCTGAGTTGTACGGTGGGCTCATTTTATCGTTGGACCTTTCCAAGGCCTTCGATCAAGTGGATCGGGCGCGCTTGTTTCAGGGACTTTCAGAAGTGCAAGTATCTTCTGACCTCATTGCACTCTTGAGAAACATCTATCACAGTACTGGTTTTGATTTTGTGCACAAGGGTGAATTCAGACATGTTTCTACGTTCAAAGGCATTCGACAAGGCTGCAAATGTGCTCCAATTCTATGGGCACTTTATTTCATCCAGATTTTCACAGCACTGCATGAATACTGTCCCTGGGACTGGCTGCAGAAGTGCATTACAGCCTTTGCTGACGACATTTGTCAACATGATGAATTCTCCAATCCGGAGGACTTTGTAGTCTTATTGCACCGAGTGGGACTTCTGATGGACTGTTTGGAAAAGGCTGGATTGCCCATTAATTTGAGCAAGACGGTAGCTCTATGCAGGATGACTGGAAAGCGGTTACATCAGATTCAGAAACGGTTCTTTCAGAAAACAAAACAGGGCACGTTTTTGAAAATTCCCAGGGTTGATGGCAATGTCACTCTTGTCAAACTGGTTCATCAACATGCTTATCTTGGTGTCAAACTTTCTTACTACAATTTTGAAGCATACACCATGACACACAGATTGACTGCTGGACGACGTACACAGCAACTGCTGCACAAGTGGCTCCATTTGAAGAGTGGGCTGAGACCGCACCAACGCGTCAAACTCTGGCAACAATGTGTTCTTTCCAGTTGTCTTCATGGTTTGATACACACAGGTTTTCAAGCTCAACATCTTCTTCATTTCCACAGAACATGCATTTTGCAGTTGCGCAGAATCTTCAAGGAACCTGTTCACTTGACCTTGGAATCCAATGTGGGCTTTTTGAATTCACATGGCGTTTTGCCACCGCTTGTGCTGCGATAGCACTGAGAGGCGTGAGCAAATAAGGGCAAGTCAACTTCAGCATGATGATATCTTGCACCTTCAACCACCTGTGAACTACAAAGTTTTGCGACAGGAACTGGAGATTGCGCTGCAGAAGATCCACAGTGCAGAGCTCTGTGACAGACCCTCAGATCTTCTGCATCCACATCAATGTCAACTTTGTCAGACATGGTTTACCACTGTTGCGGCACTTCGAAGGCACTACAAACAGCAGCATGATGTTCGACCAGGCCAGACCCAACAGGTGACTTCCTTTGATAGCTTGCATGGACTTCCAACCTGTGCACATTGTCACACCAAATTTACTACTTGGTCCAATTTCAGAAAGCATATACAATTTGAGTGTTGTATGCCACAACAGGCTGATCAAGCAGCAGACCTTGAACACCGTCTCAACGTGGTGGAGTTCATGCATTATTCCAATGGTGCACATTTTCAGGCCCTTGCAGAGCAACATGATCTTTTGAGGTACATGCGCACACACACTGCATTCTCTGTGGGCAACATGTGATGTCGGCCAGAGGAATGTTCACACACTGGTCTACTGATCATGCTGATACTTACAGGCGTCATGGAAAGGCACTGGAAACAGTACTGCAGGGACTACAGATCACGTCCCCATGCACTCTCTGTGGATGTCAGTTTACCAGGAGCCACAGATGTGTGATACACAGTCAAATTGCTATGCATGCTGTTTCAACAATGCCGGCAGTGTCGCATGAACAAGAGGCAGATACCTTGCACATCTGTGATATTTGCCAGAAGGCCTACGTCACCAAACATGGCCTCCGTCAACACATTCAGAGATACCATCATGCATTGGATGTCAATGACTCAGATGATTTTATTGACATGCAGCAGGCACACAACATTTTGGTTGAGGCTGTTGAGACTGATGATTGTGCCACCCTGCTGCTGAACCCCATGGTACTGGAATATCTGGGAACTTGGTGTCCTGTTTGCAAGACTTCGTTTGCGCAGCGCAACATTCTTTCCAGACATTTGCGGCATCATCATGCAACGCTGTGGCATGATGCTGAGAAGTTTGCAATGGAATTGGCTGCGCTGTATTGTCACAACGGGGAATGCTATTGTCCAACCCCACAAAGGTCCAAACATATCTGCACGGTTTTCTTGCAATTCAGCATGCTCCTACATCAGACGTTGAGGTATGCTGGAGTCACTGGACCCACACATGGACTAGCAGGAGATGAGTTGCCTACTGCGCCAGCTGCAGCACCCCAGATCGCTCAGACCGTGGCTGCTTTGGTATTCAACGGGCAACTGGATCAGATCTATCTGCAACCTGATGTCAGACTGCGGTTGACAATTCATTGCTGCTTCTGTTCAGAGCATTTTCGCAGTGGAGATTCATTAGTGGTGCATTGTCGACAGGTTCATGCAGACCTTTGGGAGCAAAGTCAACAGGCCTATGAATACCTCAGATGGGTGTTGTTTGGTGTCAGTGGCTGCTGCTGCAATCCGGGGGCACACTATGGGGATGATGCACATGAGTGTGTTTCTCTTCGACAGATTGCCATGGTCTATGAGGACCTAGGCATGCCGATCTTCATCCCATACTGCTTCAAGGCCAAGGATGTCATTGACCTGCTGATCAATTTGGTCAGCCCTAGCCATTTGCAAGAACTCACAGTGCATCTCATGTTGCGCCGTTTTGGCAACTTGTGGCAACACAGAGGTCTCCTTCAGATGCTGCGGGTGACGTGCTTGATTTGTCAGACGAACATCTCTCTCAATGGCATGAGAGCACACCTTCGAGTGGACCACAATTTGACCATGCCGAGGTTCAAATTCCATATGCATCAGCTGGCTGACATCTTCTCCACGCTGCACAGCTCAGATCCTGCATGTGACTACTGTGGTGCCTACATCCACACAGATGTCAGTACGGATGACCTTGAACCGCAACTGAGAGAACACTTGAGAGAATGTCCATTGATGATGCAACTTGCAGTCTTGCTTGGCCAACCCCTATGGGAGCGTGAGTTTCCAGACATTGTGACTTGGCCAACGCAGGAGGTGCTATTGGAGACTCATCGCAAACGTGCCAACCGACGATGGCAATTTCAAGCACCACTCTCAGAACCGGCTGATTGCACTTTGATGCTGTTGGCACATCAGGCCAAAACCTTTTTGGATGATGGATGGATGGTCCAACATATGACTCATTGCTGTTTGATGTGTGGTCGGCACTACTTTGGTCAACGACCCTTTTTGACACATCTCATGCAGGAACACAACTATCGCCAGTATTTGACAGAGAAATTGCATCATTTCTTACTGACATTGATTCCTGCCAAAACATGCCCCTATTGCGGCTCAATTTCACATGCTCATTCAGTGGGTCGACGGTGCATTGTGATTTTCAATTTAGCCACAGCTTTGTGCAATGGGGGACATGACCGAAGAGATGGGAGAATTGAATATGGATCAGGCCGCTTCCATTTGGAAGAACGTTCTCAATCCAGCTCAGCTTCAGCAACTGGGTATCTCTGGAAAAGACAACAAAGAAAATCAAAAGCCAGAACGTATGGCCAAGCGACTCAAGGCAGACAAGACCAAGACCGACAGACACCAACAAATGCCGATTCCGCCCAAAGGTTCCCAGCAGGAGCTGTTACAACTCATGGGCAAGATGATCCTGAGACAGGAGGACACGTTGAACTCCATGCTGACAGAACATCAGTTTTTGGTTCATGTCAACGTTGGCAATGGCAGCATCCTTCCGGAGCTCATTCAGGTCACACAGGCATGGAAAGCAGGCAACAGCCCCACCAAAGATCCTCTGAGGCACCAACTTGCCCTGACAATGATGACAACTCTGCGGGACCGAATGCAAAATTTGAGTCAATCGCAGGACAAAGACGATGTGGTGAAGGAGTGTTGGCGTCTTCACATTCTGGACCAGAACATGGAGATGCCGTACCTGCGATGGAATCCAAAGGCTCAGCAATTGGAGCCCACCACGGACAAACGTCTGAAGGTGGCAGAAGTCCTGAAACACTTGGAAGGAGTGATCAGGTTGATGGACGACAGTGCCACGACGGTGAGGTTCCACTCGTTGAAACGGATGGCAGACACGCCAACGCAGGCGACTCCGTGGTTATGGACGGTGTCATCAAGGACAAGCCCGGAGCTGTGGCATCAAATCAAATTTCTGACTTTTCACTCATGCTGGCTGCTTGTCCAATGCAGGGTGAAGTGTCACAGCATGCAGAGATCAAATCTGGCTCAACAGCTGAGCAAGATGCTTTGAAGCCCAGACTTGTGCGGCTGCTGCTCAATCCTTCCCATACTTTGTGCTATGCCAATGCAGCCTTGCAATGTCTGGCATGGATGAGCATTTTGTGCTCACGTGTCACAGCTGCTGCCTGGACCAAAGGTTATGGGTTGATTGATGCATTGACCTCGTGGACACCGGTGCCTCTTGTGTTGTACCACTTTGCACCCTTTCAGGAGCTTTTCAATGGGGGAGACTGGGGCTTACGTGAAAAAGATCGACAGAATGATCTCAATGACTTCACGTCTCACATTTTGTTGCTCTTGGCACCACAATTTGTGAACAATTCTTGGGTATCACAGCCGGCCCTGCTGCCTGACTTTGAGGGCACCAGGCTTCAAGATGAAAAAGGACATGCCTTGCAACCTATCTTACTAACGCTGTATGACACCAAGTTGGATTGTTGCAAGCTCTCAGATTTGATTCACACATGGCATGATCCCTCAGGTCTTTGTCGATCATTTGTCGAGGCCCCTACTGTTTGCTGTTTTGCCATTGACCGAAACTTGCCTCCACACAACATCAAATGTCAGCAATGTGTGGACTTGCATGATGGAATCCTGCAACTCCCTTATTTCAATGGAGAGCGTCAGATCAGTTGGAAGCCTTATCGCATTGCAGCTGTGGCATTTCACATTGGACGTAACTCTTCTAGTGGACACTGGCGAGCGGCTTTATTTCATCAAAATCGTTGGTTTGTATACGATGATGGATGTCTTCCTGAGCAGATGACTCGTTTGAGCTTGACCATTCAGAAACAGGTGAATCAAATTTGGTTGATCGATTGCGCTCTCGACAGGACTCCATTGGCTGAAACCGCAACTGCCTCTGCTCACCTTGGACGCTCCGCAGTATGACTTCCTCGGCAGCGGTTGGTGGGCTGGGCAGAGTGGTGGCACTTGCCTGCTGCTGCACTGCAGTGCTGCTGCTGCGCTGCTACTGCGCTGCCGCTTCTGGCGCTGCGGCTGAGCGAGGCTTCTAAGGTATCGGAGGGTCTCACTCCTGTTGCCTTAGATGTTTCCTAGGTCATTTGCCATTTCACCCCTTGGAATTCCAATCTTTTGATTTCTGATGGACGGAACTTCCCATTAGAAGCTTCTCACCTTGCATGTTTTCTTTTTAGATTTCTCCAAGCTGCTCATAGACCTGAGTTTTTGGCATTGGACAATTAGATTTTAGCGGTGACCTAAGGGTCAGGCATAGCAGTTAAGACCTCTGAAAGCATCGGACCGATTGTGCAGACAGAGGCCGTGGTCAAATGACACACGTGAGGCTTGCTCGCCAACTCATCAGGGTTGTGGGGTCGCAAAAAAACACACACACACACACACATCGGAACGGCCAGCGGGCACCCGCAAGCCACCCGCAGGCGCACCCAGCGCGCTGCGGCGCGCCGGGCACGTAGAGCGCGCCGACCGCGGCGCCCGCCCGCGCCGCCCGCCCGAGCCGCCCGCCTGCGCCCAGCGCCCGCGCGCCCTAGCCCCGCGCCCCGCCGCCGCCCTCTGCCCAGCGCCCGCGGCCCGAGCGCAGTCCGTGGCGCCCGAGATTGCGCCCGCGGCGCCCGGGCGCGCCCGGCCCCTGGCCCCGGCCCGGCCAGATATGCCGCCCGCCCACCGGCCCGCGCCCCCGGCCGCGCCCCGGCCCGCCCGCGGCCCCGCCCCGCGGCGCGCGCGCTGGCGCCGCCCGCGGCGCCGCTCCCGCTCGCCCGCCGCGCGCCGCCGCCGTTGGCGCCCGTGCGCCGCGCGCGCCCCGCGCGCGCCCCGCCCAGCAAGCCCGCGCACCGCCCAGCGCCCGCGCCGCGCCGCGACCGCCCGCCCCGCGACCGCTCCGCCGCCACCCGCCCGCCCGCCAGCCGCCCGCCCACCGCCGCTCGCTCACCGCCGCCCGGCGGCCCCGCCCGCCCAGCAGCCCGCGCCCTGCGCCCAGCCGCTTGCCCGCGCCGCCGCGCGCTCCAAGCGCCCCGCCCGCCCCCGGCGCCCGGCCCTGCCGCGCGCCGCGCGCACCGCCGGCGCCCGACCGCGCTCCCAGGCGCACAGCACGCGCACGCACGTGCGCGCACGCCTACCAGGGCACCGCGCCCGCACCCGCACCCGCACACGCACCCGCACCCGCACACCCACACGCACACGCACACGCACACACACACATATACACATATGCAAAATTTCCCTTCAATAGTGACATGGCTGCATCAGAACAATTGGATGCTGAAAGTTCTATTGCTGTTAGGCCACTTCTTCGGCTGGACATTGACACACAATCCATGCCAGTGCCATGGGACTTCCATACGCAGGCGAAGATGCTCATTTGTTTGCTCCTGCAAGCCCTTTGCAAGACTTTGGGGAGTTCCAGTTCACCCCGCAGCAGTACCGGCTTCTTATCAAACAGGTTTACCAAGAGAAGAATCCTTCAATGATGGCAGAATTGGATTTCATTTTCTCAAGGTATCAAGGCCGTGAGGAGGAATTATTTCCCCAGGTATGCCTGAAGTATGGTGCAGACAGAGCGGCCCTTACAAAAGATCTTCCACCAAGAACCGAGCTAGAAGAGGGTGAGTTAGTGGAAGCAATTGTTCGCTTGGAGGAGGAGCACGAGAGACGGATGCGACTTCTCCGACGGAAAAGGGAGGAAGTGAAAGAACTGACCCTTCTCATTCGCTTGGGATCTGAACGACGGCGCTGTCATGCTTGCGATGTGGGCATTTGTCGCGCACAGCGCTTGATCAGATTTGCTGGTGAAGTTTGCTGGCTGGTGGCCGAGGAAAGTAGATGTGCAGAGGAGGAGGGGGCCGGCAGCCATGGCCATAGTCATGAAAACCTTGAGGATCTACACAGAGGAACGCAGTGGGTGATCAAAGAGTTAAGAGCCATTCTCACAAGTGTGGCTCAAGAAGATCCACAACTGGCTGAATTGGCGCATCACCTCTCCACTGCCAAGATTCAAAAGCCCCAGCAAGTCAAGAAAGACTCAGACCACTCAGGTCCTGAAAAATTGGAGCCCCAAGGAGAGGATGGAGAGGAAGTGGAGCGACTGGACTGTGAGTCTGAGCAATGGGATCCACAGGATGAGTTGGAGTCAGACACGCCTGAGCCCAACGAGCCATCGCAGCCACAAATAGAGGAACTTGCGACGAGGGAAGCGGATGCCGAACATGGCAAGGCACAGGATGACGCACGGGTACGATGTGAGGACCAGCCTCCTGCGAAGCCCGACCAAGGTGACCAAAGACTGTCAGAGGCCGAGAAGTTGGAAGAGAAGTTGGACCCGGGTGTGTTTGAGCAGCTGGAATCCATGCAACAAATGTAGGTTCAATATGGTTCAATGACATTTGGATCATTTGGGATGCCCTGGAGCATTGTCCAGTAGCAAGTCCTTTGGTGAGCTGACGCTCAAAGAGCGCAGCCCGAAGGTATGGTCCTTTAGCATGTAGGACGCATTTGTTTCGAGTGCCTAGCCTACAAACAGTGCAAAAACAAGAGCCAAAAATGTCAAACTCAATCACTAGACTCTGCCGCTGGTTTACAGCTTCGTTGGTTCACCACCATCGTCACCGTAGCATTGTTGTTTGCCGCTGCTGTTTTTCTCAAGCCGGATCCTGAACACTCCTTTGGCAAGGGAGGGAAGGCCCTTCTAAGAAGACCTTCTACGGCAGTGGCTTTGCCGAGACGCCAATCATACCCGGCCTTCACAAATGTTGGCATCCATGACTGGCAGTAGCAAGCGCCTCAGAGTCTCCACAGTAGCATATTGCTCCTCAAGAACCTGTTTTCCCCGCCCAGAGGATGCGAGTTCTAGTTGCAAGAATGTGGCAAGAGGCAATCCATGTTATTTGATGGTACTCAGTGTTTGGTTCTCAGATGCTAGGTCGAAAGCGAGGAATGTTTGAGGAACCTGACATGCTGGCAAAACGCCAGTGCATCAGGTGCCTTGGCTTGGCCTGCTTGATATGTCTTTGCAAAAAAAATGTCGATTTGGGACATGTTTGGACTCCAAAAATGCTTGACTCTGCCAGACATTGCGCAAAGGCGTGAAACACTCTTCTTGCCGTGCCGCCGAGGAATCCTGAGTACCAGACGCTTGGATGCAGAGATTTTCATCACCTCTGCTGTGAAACACCTAAGGACCTAAGCCAATTGGCTAATTGTACCATACTGTACCTTGAAAATCCATGAAAATCCAAAGTTTGTGGCAGTCGGAACTCGATTGTTGGATTTCCTCAATCGCAATTTGCCTAGCAATTTGCCCGAGCTGAGGGCTGCCTTCCAGATGTTTGATAAGGATTTAAGCGGCACAATCGACTTGCAGGAGCTCAGATGTCCGGTGTCGTCGTTTGGATCTTTGAATCATATTTGGCCACAGTTTCACAATGTTGCACAACGATTGCCTCATTGTTTGGCGTTGCAAAATGTGAAAGCTGGCGCCACCACATTCTCCAGCAATCTCCACCAGGAGCTGAATGCGGCGCTGCAAGCGGTGAAACTCAGTGTAGCAACCCGGCAGATTGAGGATTTCTGCGAGCCAAATTTCCAAATGTCACAATGAACAGAAACATCAGAAACAAGATTGGCCTATGTCCATCTATGTCCTATGTTGGCTTTTGGCTTGGCAAGGAATCCGGGACGCCACAGGCAATGTTCACAAGGCCCTTTAATGCCAACACGGTCGGGCACTCAACGAACTTGTGACACTCAATGGGAGAGAGAAGCACTGAAGCACATCTGCTTCTCATGGATTCTGCGCTTTGGAAAGCCTCGCTTTCCACGGGACCAAGATGCTGTGGCTCGCTGGGAAGTATGCTCGTCAAGGAGGTGGGCAGATCCGCCTGCAAGAGTTCTGCGCACCTTGGCACTGCTTGATGATCTTGATGGTACTGCTGGATTCATTGGCGCGTCTCATGTCTCGGATCATCTTGTGTGCTGCACCATCCCTCTGCCTTACATATCTTACATTGCCTTCCTATGTCACATTAATTTGCATTATGTGGCCCAAGGAAATGCTGCAGGCCGACGCCATAATTTTCCAACGCTTCGAGATTGCACGAGATTGCACATTATATCATATCCATAAAGTCACCTACTTTTTACACCAGGATCCCAGGGCGCAATGGTTTTGAGCTGACACTTTGCTCTGACATTTGGGTTGTTCTTGTTGATCGTTGCAGTACCTGGAGAGCGTGAAAAACATCTTCACGCAGATTGACACAGACAGGAGCTTTCCTCATTCCTACACTGTGGTTTCCTGCACCCATCTGCACACACATCTTGGTGTGGACACAGACGCATCCTACAGGTCCTACAGTGTTCAGCATCTCTTCACTTCGATCACTTCCCATGCATTCTTCGGACATTCTTCAGACATCTTCAGTCGGAGCCGTGGCCCCAACAGGACGGGAGACATCTCGGTCTCTGAGCTGAGCCGCGCTTTGAAGCTCTCCGGCTTCAATGTGTGGAAGCCTAGCTGCTGCTGCTATGGCTGTTATAGCTTCAGCTGGATGGCGCCATACCACTGAGAAAGTGGATGAAAGTGGCCTGGCATGGCAGCTTTGTGATCGATTGCGATGGTGAGGTGGCTGGATGGCCTGATGGCGGTCTGGATCTCAGCCCTTTGAGGTGTGCAGCGTGTCACTGATGCTGCCTTCGCTCAAGGTGGAGATGCCCTAAGCCTTGCAGCTGCTCGACCTCCATAAATTTGCACCATCCATGGTGATGGAATGTCAGGTTCACTGGTCTGGCGATCCAAAATGTGAAGGCCTTTTGTTACGCCATCGGATGGTCCGAGGTGGCTGAGAAGATTGGCCGGGCTTATGATGCTGATGCCATGCCGCAAACAGAAAGCTTCTCCAGTGGCTAGCTACTGCTTACTGCTTCTTACTCCAGCATCAGTTGCTCCCGTGGCTTGCGGCGTGGATCAGTCTGGATCAGTTGCTCCGTGCCTGAGGATGGCAACGGTGTTCTGACCTTTGATGAGCCGCATCCCCAGAAGCCTGGCAGAGCCACTCTAAGCCGTGTTTGTCTAAGATTGTCGCAGCTTCGAAAGACAGCTCTAAGTTGACAAAGCGTTGTGAGGTTTGTGCAACTTCGACTGGTCGCCTGGCGCAATGTTGGATTGTCAAATTGTCAACATCCCGACCCAATGTTGTGATTGAGAGTGGGGCATGGCAGCATAGTGGGACTGTGTCCACACTGTGTGTTTGTTGATGTGGGTTCCAACTGCCGTCAAGGAATGGGACTCGTACCTGGACAACTGGAGCGCCACTGTCGCTCCAGATGCCAATGCAATCTCACCTCAGCAGTTGCAGCTCGACAAATCGTTGGCATTTCTGGAGATGGGATGGGCTAGGCATGGCTAGGTTGGGGTGTTCGATACCAATTCATTGAAACTTCTTGGTGCATACTAGAATGCATTACCTCCCAGAGGGAACAGTTGCACAGCCCGCCCTTCGAATTAAAGGACTAAATAAGAGGAATCAGGAAAGTGCATAGATCTGCACAGTATGGTATGGCAACGCGCTTCGGGAAAACGGAATGAGCTCCCAGGTTGACCATTCTGGAGGCGATCAAATCGTTGTAGACTTAGAATGCCGCCACAGCCGCCACAGCACTTGTTGGCACTTCAATGTTTTTAATTGTTTTTGGAGCTGAGCTTGTAGCCAAATGCATCCAAATGCGACATTTGATTGGTCGTGTGGTGGGTGCCAGATGCTGTGCAGATTCTTCAATGAGGTCGCTGGAATCTTTGCATGAACTGGCGATCAATCCAATGGTTTCAGGTGCAACAGCATGTCATTCGGATAAAGCCACTACAAATCACAAAGACGTACGTAGCTGTGTGATTGTAGCGAGGGAACTGACAGAAGTGGCAAACTTCGATTTCAGGCCTCCCGGGCTTCAGCGCAGCAAGTTTCTTGGGGCCGATGTTCTACAATTCCATGTTCAAGGTGCAATTTGTGCAGCTCGCACCGCCACCCACAAGAAAATTGACATTTGAGACACAGCCATGGGGCATGCAATAAATGATCAGAGATACTTAAGGCGTGCCAGCAGCGTGCCTGCAAACAGGTTCCCCGTCCGTTTCTGCATTCTACTGCAGAACTCTTGCTCCTTGGTGTGGAATTAAATTCTTGAGGCCAGCCTGTGCCATACTGAATTGCAGAAGGAGCATTAGCCACCTTAGTTGTGTGCTTTAGCGCACTTTCCTGTTTGGGGCAGCGATAGGCACTGGATGGCACAGGATGGTGAAGATTTGATTTTTCACTTAGCCCCCCAAAGTGGACGAAGGTCCACTGCCACTGTGTCCACGCATTCTTTTCTCATGACTTAGATTTTCTGGGCTTTGACTTGACTGTTTCATGGCTTCCACTCTGGGGGCGTTGTGTTGTATACATCGTCTTACTCCTCCTCACCATCATCAAAATCACTGTCTCATCATCATCGTCATCATTGCCGTCGTCGTCGTCATCATCATCATCATCATCAGCAGCAGCAGCAGCATCAGCAACAGCGCAAACATGGTCGTCAGCTTGCTATAAGGTTGACTTGTTGCTGGCATTTGTTGATGAAGATCATGTTAGATTTCAAATGTCAGGATCCGAAAATATGCGGGCGGATCATCGTTGCTCACGTTCGAACAATTCTGCCTGCTGATGGAGTTTCTCAAGGATGCTGAGTGTTTGATAGCTGTCAACTTGCATTTGGTCAGCTACACTGTACTGTATCTGCAGTGTGCTCGTAGTGGATGAGTTCCATTCTGGTGGTTTCCTTGCGACAAGGAACAGAAGAAGAAATTTACAGCAGTTGACCAGGATCGCAACCAGGCTTCACTTAGATATACGCTGTTCTGTGGCTTTGATGATTACAAGTGCAAGTGATAACGAAGCGTATGCATTGGATATTATTTATTCGCTTGCTGGTTACAAGCTGGAGTTGGTCACTGAAGAGTGGAAAATGGGCAGTGTTGTTCTGTGCCACGAAACCAGGCCTTTTTAAGCCCAAGTGTTGTCCGATTCTGCGGCTAAGGGTCCGGACACATCAATTTGCAAGAGCTGGGTCAAGCTTTTGCGCAGAGCGGTATGCCTCTCCCGCAGCCTGTCTTTACAATGATATATGATATACGATGATTTATCATGATATACGTGATTGCATGTGTACTGTATATGTATATGTATATGTATATAGATATAGATACAATGAAATCAAATATGCACCAAGCGCTTTTTGGGATCTGTGGATCGCTGGTGTAGCAGCGTAGCAGCAGGCTTGGTTCAATGCCTTCCCATGGGTTTTTGGTTTCATGCATGTTTATTTTACAATAGCTTTATGCTATTTTATGCTGAGGCTTGAACAGAAGCACGGCTGCAACTGGAGGGATGTGGAATTTGGATGAATTTGGGATGTTACCCTCTGGTAAACTAACATAGCTATTGAAAATGGCCATTTATAGTGGATTTTCCCATTGAAAATGGTGATTTTCCATAGCTATGTTAAATTACCAGAGGGTAATTGTTTACTGCAGCGCACTTTGCATGACTGCTAGACCACTGCGGGTAATCTGCCACCAGGCTGCTGGTAGTTGCTCGGCGGTATGACCAGGACCCGGCAAAGCTGGGTAGTTCTGGTCCCCAAGAAGATAGACAAGTTACCCCGAAAACGTCCGGAACATTTTCGAGGTTTGCAAACTTTTCTATCTTTAGTGCTGGTATTCACAGGAAATCATTAATTTTAATGATTTTAAGCGCACTGTTCCCTGTAAATTTACAGTCGCTGTCAAAGATAGAAAAGCTTAAAGACATAAACATGATCCAAACATGAAGATTTCCCGGATATATGCAGATACTAAAGATAGAAAAAATTCAAAAACCCTTCAAACCTTGAAAATAACGCCTACAGCACTACAGCTATGTTCGTTGCGTCTCTGGTCCATGTTCTCAGAAAGCCTTTGGCCTTTTGTCCAGGCCAATGTGTCCTTGTTGCAGTTTTAGCAGCACCTTGCATTCTGTTGCGCGAAGGTTCCCAAAAAGTCTAGCCAACGTTGGTCACGTGTTACTTTTCAATCTTGCGTGCCCCACCACCCACTTGCATGGCTTCAGACCTCAGTTTGAGTAGATTTTGCAACAAAATTGCAACCTTGAAAAGAAACAGCGCAACCAAACAAACACAAAAAAAGCAACATGAGTACCATGAGTTTACAAGGAACAGCATGCGAGAGAACTGCAAAGCAGGAACGCAGGACCAAGATCCAACTCAACAAATGGCATTTGTTCAATGGGCATATTTTGAATGTGGGAGCAAATTCTTCATTTGGGCTTTTCTATCTTCAACATCCCCCACCTATTTGTGGATTCGGCATACGTTCTGGGATCTTCCATGTTTGCATGGTTTTTCTGCCGAAATTTCTCCCCAACATTTGGGTCAATTTTTTCCTTCCGGTTTCGAGGGTTCTGAGACGATTTTATCCTTCCGGTTTCGAGGCCGTAAAATCCTAGAAAAACGGTTCTATCTTTTTGAGGACGGCTATACAGACTTAGATATATGTGTATATATATGTGTATATATATATGTATATATATATGTATATGTATATATATATATGTTTACATAATATAATATAATATGATATAAAATATATTATAGCATAATATAATATAATATAATATAAAAATATTATAGCATAATATAATATAATTTAATATAATATAATATAAAATAATAATATAATATAATATAATAATATAATATATATATATGCATACCCTTGAAAAGAATTCCAAAAATATTTTGCGTCATATGTGCCTGTGTTTGCATGCTCGTGCTTCTGAGTGGCAGGATCAAAGCGGCACTCTGGAGTTCGATGAATTTCTGCAAATGATGACGGAGCTCTCCCCTGCATGAGCTTTGTTTGTCGGGAGCTCTTTCCTGCACGAGAACATGATGACGGCGCAATCTGAACGCGGCTGTTTGAACTCTGGTGTGAAGACTTGGAACAGCAAATCATCAAGCCGTGATGGCAGAAGAGTCTTTAGACCTGTCATTCTGCAGCATACAAGCTGCAGGGGACGGGTTGGAGACTTGCTTTAGCATACCATTTGAGATGCTGGCAAGTTTAAATCATTTCAGAAGATATGTACTGCATCGTTGCAGCTAACTCGCTTCAAAAAAGTGCTGCAGTCGCTACAGGCTGTTCGTACTTGTGCATCCTACTCGTCATGAATGCATATATATATATATATGTATGACACACACACACACATATATGTATAATAGAATATGATGTCAAATCTACATGTGCATGTGTGCGCGTTAGTCAAAGGAAGTGTCATGGAGGAAACTCCGAGTTACGGATGGTTTATTCTCACTAGCCCAAAGATCATTGTGTCCAGTGGGCACCTGCGTTAAGAGATCGTGAAGTCACATTCTCACTAGCCTTGGCATGTGCCTTAAGAGATCGTGAAATCACATTCACACTAGCCCAAACATGGCGCTAGAGTAGCAGTTGGGTAGAGGTAGAGGTTGAGCAGAGTAGAGTCGAGAAAAGTAGAGTAGGGAGCAGAGGAGTAGAGCAGAGAAGTTACGATTCTGATTGTGGTTTGCAAGTCGCTCTTGGCAAAGCGCGTTGGAATTGCTACATCATGGATGCGATTTGAACGTTAGGATTTGCACAAGACATTGCAATTTTTCCGGTAATGGAGGTTCCGTTGCAGAGAAAAGTTGGCTCGCGGTTGCGGGCGTCGCCGGTTTAGCGTGGAATCATTCCCGATCTGCGTGCGCAATGTAACTGAGGGTTCCAGGTGACTTTTTCTCTTCTTTGTTGATGCTGTGCTATTGTGTTTTGCATGTGTTGAGACACTTTGTGCATTGGAACTGGTGTATCGGAGCGATGTGTTCTACAGTAGTGTGTTGCAATGCTGTGGTAGTTTGCATGTGTTGAGGTACTTCGTGCTATGGAACTGGTGCATCACAGCGAAGTGTTCCACAGTAGTGTGTTGCAATTCTTTTGTGTTTCTCAATTCAGTGTCTGCAGATTGCAGTGGAATGGCTGAATCAAGGTTCCTCGCTGCTCCGGCTGCGCGCGGGCAAAATTGAGAAATATCTGCTGCCAAAGCACCATTCGCAACCTTGATGCAGCCACTGCATTTTTTGCGATTTACAATTCTCAGCTGCAAAAGACATTATATAAAACTATTCTGCACGCAGCCGCAGCAGGACCTGGACGCAGCCATTCCACGGCGATCTGCGGAGACCGAGTTGCAAAACACAATAGAATTACGCACAATGGCTACACAAATTGCAGCTCCAAAACCGGTTTTGAAACACTTTTTAAAAGGAATTTAAAAGGAAAATCATCAGCACCAAAATGAATAAAATCTGCTGGCAAAGCACCATTCGCAACTTTCATGCTGCCATTACAATGCGATTTACGACCCTCAGCTGGAAAACACACTATTATTTTGCACGCACCCGCAGCAGCAAGGAACCTTGACGCAGCCATTCCACGGCGATCTGCGGAGACTGAGTTGCAAAACGCACTAGAATTACGCACAATGGCTACACAAATTGCAGCTCCAAAACCGGCCCAAACGGAAAAACGACGATTTTGAAGCACTTTTAAAATGGAATTTTAAAAGGAAAATCATCAGCGTCAAAGTGAAGAAAAGTTTGGTGCCAAAGCACCATTCGCAACTTTCATGTTGCCATTACATTACGATTTGCGACTCTCATTTGTAAAAGCTTCTCTGTGCAAAAGCTTGCTTTGTGTAAACCCTTCTCTGTGTAAAAGCTTGCTGTGTGTAAAACCTTCTCTGTGCAAAAGCTTGCTTTGCGTTAAAAAAACTCCTCTGTGTAAAAACTTGTTGTGTGTAAAAACTTGCTTTGTGTAAAAGTTTCTCTGTGTAAAAACTTGCTGTTTGTACTTCTCTGTGCAAAAACTTCTCTGTGTAAGAGCTTGCTTTGTGTAAAGTGCAAAAACTTGCTGTGTGTAAAAACTTCTGTGTGTAAGAGCTTCTCTGTGTAAAAGCTTCCCTGTGTAAAAGTTTGCTGTGTGTAAAACCTGCTGTTTTCTGTAAAGGCTTCTCTGTGCAAGAGCTTCTCTCTGCAAATGTTTGCGCTGTGAAAAAGTTTGCTCTGTGTAAAATCTTCTCTGTGTAAAAGTAAAAACTTCTATTTGTGTAAGAACTTAATGTGAAGCTTCTCTGTGTAAAATTTTGCTGTGTGTAAAAACTTGCTTTGTGTAAAAACTTCTCTGTGTAAAAGCCTGCTCTGTGAAAAAACTTGCTCTGTGTAAACGTTTCTCTGTGTATAAACTTTTCTGTGTGAAAACATCCGGTGCGTAAAAACTTCTCTGTGCAAAAACTTGCTGTGTGTAAAAGCTTGCTGTGTGTGAAAACTTCTGTGTGTAAGAGTTTCTCTGTGTGAGAGCTTGCTGTGTGTAAATGCTTCTCCGTGTAAAGGCTTGCTCTGCGTGTAAGCATCTCTGTCTGTGACAGGAGGTGAGAAGAGTTGAGAAGAGTTGAGAAGAGTTGAGAAGAGTTGGCCAGAGTTGAGAAGGTGAGAAGAGTTGAGATGAACTGAGAAAGAGGTGATGAGTTGAGCGGAGGTGAGAAGAGGTGGGAAGAGTTGAAGAGGTGGCAAGAGGTGAGAAGAGTTGAGACGAGTGGAGAAGAGTTGAGAAGAGTTAAGATGAGGTGGGCCGAGGTGAGAGTCGTTGAGAAGAGTTGAGAAGAGCAGGGAAGAGGTGAAAAAAGTTGAGCTGAGGTGGGAAGAGATGAAACAACTTCTGAGGGCCGTTGAAAAGAGTTGCGAAAATTGAGAAGAGCTGAGATGGTCTGAGAAGAGTTGAGAAATGGTGGTCACAATTGACAAGGGGTGAGGCAAAGTGACGACGAATCCTCAGAACAGAGTTGAGAAACTGTGAGGGTCCGCTGCATCTCCTATAGGCAAACAATGGCAAACCTTGTCTTTGGATCCTTTGGCGTTACACTTCTTAAACTTGGAAACTTCCGCCACTCGCCTTGCGCGGGGTCTACTTGTATCATATATTTACGCATACATATCATATATACAAATATTTTTGTGGTACCAGTATGAATGCATATCTCCTATGTCAACGTTTCGCTCACGATGGTTTTTTGTGGAGGCTCCTCGCTGCAGCAGCGCTACTCTGCAACTGCTGCTGTTGAGTATCGAGCAGCCTTGCAGGCTGGGACCATGGACCGCTACGAATAATTCACTAGATGAACAAAACATAACAAAACCCATATCGAAAGTTTAAAGATCAAATCACAATTTGGGGCATAGATCGCATGTTAGAGAATGTTGAGAAGCAATGGTGCCACTGACAGGCAGCTGCAAAGCAGCCAGACATGTTCTGAGCTTGGTCAATTGTGGAGCCTTTTTGGGATGCGCATTTTTAATGGAATCATCATTGATTACGAAGCTGGTCATCGTGGATTCGAGGCTTGTGCAATCTTCCATGCCGAACTTGGCGTCGTCAGGGTGTGCTCGACAGTTGGCTGCCCAGTTTGTCGGCGTTTTCGCTGCATTTGTCGCATTTTGTCGCATTTTGCTGCCACGTTCGTCACTTCTCAAACTCCAGGGCTGTGTCACCAGCTCCAACCAGGAGCTGTGAGAGGCTGGGTTTCTCTCTTGAGACATACTCCAAATTTTTCAACATCATTCACCTCAAATCTCAAGAGCCATCGAACTACAGAAGGACAGCTGCAAAAGTGGATGTGTGGAACTGAGAACTTCTCAAGCCTGACACACGCTAACAGAGGCTTCATTTGGATAGCAGCGGCTAAAGACTTTCAAACTGCAACTGACTCAGGTATGGGGAGAAGACTTCTGGGGTTGAGAACCGAACTGAAAAAGCAGAGCAAAAGATGCTTGATAGAATTTCATGCCACCTACAATACTATTTGCTTCGGCATTTCGCAAGATCGGTTTGAAAGATGCAAGCAAGAGCAAGCCATGATCACTCACCACGTGTGCGCTTTACGTATTGACTTTCTGTCGCAGTGGCTCAAAATGTATCGGGAGGAGGCAATAGCTATATAGATGAATCAGTGCGGCCGCTGCCACGTCATTCCACAGACATTGGCCATATACAGCCACATCGACACACTCGACACACACACACACATAAATAAATAAATAAATTAAATAGATAAATAGATAAATAGATAAACAGACAAATAGATAAATAGATAAATAGATAAAGAGATAAATAGATAAGTAGATAAATAAATAAATTATATACGCATACACATGTACACGCACAGCCAGTATCAAAACATCAAGTTTGTAGACGCGCTCTAGCGGTTCACGATTCTCAGCACCTTGAGGCACCACGGTACGAGCACAGAGCCACCATCCAACGACACTGAATATGCCATTACATGGTAAAAGCATGCAATGATGGGTTTGTTTGCTTTGTTTGATTTCAGATGATTTCAACTCTTCAAATCAAACCTGGCCAGGGTTGCTCCAAGATGAAGTCGGCCTTAGGTGCGCACTGCAGAGCACAAACACAAGAGATAGAAAAGATACAGACTTTGGCCAAGGCCCCTTGCCTCCACCTGCTGATGCACCAGCCTCGGAGCCGTGAATATCCGCAGACGACTTTGTCGCTGGCAGTCGCTGGCAGTCGCTGGCAGTCGCCGTGTCTTGGTTTCAGGCATCCTTTTCATCCACTGGGCCCAGAGCTGAGAGTACTCTAAGATCGTGCTTCAATTGTGATCGGTCTTGAGGGTGTGTGGTCTTCTGCTGCAGGTTTCCGAAAGCAAGGCAGGGTCCACCAGGGGTGCTACTGTAATATTCAATCATGTTTAGAGGTGGCAATGTTCAACTTTGACCAAACCATTGCCTGTACCGTGCGCTTGCCCCTAGGGGTGCCAAAGACCTCATGCGAGCCACAGCACAGTGCCCTTCCTGCCATAGAGCCATGTGATGCCATGTATTGCCACCTGCTCGAGCCGGAGTCCATTTTGGGCAAGGTACCAGTGGCGAAGGAAGAAGCAGGCACCACTTGATGTCAGTGGATGTCAGTGGATGTCAGTGGATATCAGTGGTACCTGTTTCGTTGCAGCATTTTCTGCTCACTTTGCTTCAGGACCTGGAGCGGCACTCGGTTTTCCAACTTCAAGGGCAGCGTTCACTTAGCAGGTTGTCCGGACCCTGGCATTCTGCAATAGTGGGGGTTGTTGAGGTCCTTTGGATTTAGGCAAAATCTTTGGAATTTTGTGCCTGGTTCGAAAGGCACTCCAAGCAGCCAACAGCAGGCAGGTACATTCCGCTGAATCATTTTGAGAAGGTTACTTATGTTAGCACTATTGAAGGCAGCTGTTCATCTCTTAAGCTCAGCTTGTGTTGCAGGCTTGATCTCTGCAGATTTGTCACTGCCTCAGCTACTGCGACTGCTCATGCGGTCTCCGTCTGTGCGGAGAAAAAGAAACCTGCACACAAGTCCCGATTCGAATGGTCTGGTAATAATCTAGTGGCTTAGTGAGTGAATGTGTTGAGAGGTACGATCCTTCACTGCTGCCCAAGTATGCTTGTTTGGACCTTGGGCTCCTCAACTGGAAGAAGACCTAAGCTGCTTACGCTTCTGGGCATTTGAGGCCCAACAAGCTTTGACGAGGAGATGTTCCCGATGTTGGGTTTGCTGAATTCTGCAGTCTCATGGGGGAGCCTTTTTTTTTTGCCCAAGTAGAAGTCCAAGAGTAGTCGTTCTTTCACTCTTATCATTTTTCCTGAGCACATTACCCGAGGCACATACCAAGGCATGTGTTGTTCTTCTCACCGCTTGTAGGATCCCGAATTGGAACCAATGGTTCGAAGAGTGAACAACATGAAGAAGCTGTCCCAGACAATGCAGAACTTCAGCGGGGCTCTTGGGTTATTGCGCGTGATTTCGACATCAAGTGTAATATAGCCGTTGGTCCTTGGTGCTGTGTCAATCTGCCATGACTGCTAAGTGACAGTTAATGAAAGGCTGTATTCATTAACCACTGCTAAGTGATTATTCGAGTGCATCGAATCGTTGATGGCCTTGGAACACATCGAGCCGTGTGCAAGGTCCACGGGCTCCAGAGTGGGAATTTGCGCGAGGCAGTCCTCCCGAGGCTGCTGGGCTGGATGGGCTGAATCGGGTACAGAATGGATCTGTTGAGCTGCTTAGATCGGGCTGCAGGTCCAGGACTGGATTTCCAAGACACTGGCCTCAGCCCCAAGGCTGCCAGACCCAGCAGAGCACTCAGAGCACTCAGCAGTTTCGAGATGTTTCGGGGTTCAGCTGCAGTTGGTTCACCTTCGCCTTTGCATACCGCTGTGGATTACCAGGATCCCTAGTTGCATGGGCTCAAGAATGAAATAAATCATTTGCTATCGGCGATGAGATTGAAGAGTTGCAAAGATATTGCTTAAACATTCGAGCACCAGTCTACAAGACAAGTAGCAAACTTGAGCATTTTAAACCAATCGCCCGCCATGGCTCCTGCTCCGGCACGTTTTATCAACCCAATCCCCAACCCTTCGCGGTACCAAAAGTACAACGGCGTGACCCTCGAGTCCCTGTGCGAAGCTGCATATCATGGCAACATGGAGAAGTTGGAGTTGCTGCTCAAGAGTGGCAACGCAGATGAGATTTTCAACGGTGATGTCAACATGCATTTGACCGACGTCAATGCCTTACACATGGCAGCAATGGCAGGACAAGAAGGTGCAGTGAAACTGCTGTTGGATGCCCAGGCTGATCCACACGTGCGCTGTGTGGTGTCAGAAGGTAAGGATCCTCAAAGCGGTGAGACGGCCAAAGACAAGGCGGGAAAGTTCAAGCATCAGAACATCGTCACCTTGCTGAAGTCAGCAGAGGAGAAGACTCCACCTGGTTGGTACCAAGCAGATGGGATTGGGAACAATCGAAAGCTTTATGCGAAGCCTGTTGAGCAATCTGCCCCGAAGCCAACCGATGGCGGGAAAAAGGAAGAGGCAAAGCCAGCACCAAAGACAGCACCAAAAGCAGCACCAAAAGCAGCATCACAGGAGAAATCAGAGCCGTCGTTGCCAGTTGCGTTGCTATTCCCTGGCCAAGGCTCACAATATGTCAAGATGCTTGATGGAGTGAAGGATGTCCCAGAAGTCAAGGAGATGCTTTCCAAGGCCAACTCGATCTTAGGCTATGACCTCCTCGACATGTGCTTGAAGGGTCCTGAGGAAAAGTTAGCCGAGACAAAATATTGCCAACCAGCCATGTTCGTTGGCGGCTTGGCAGGAGTTTGCAAGTTGAAGTCTCAAAATGCTGCAGCTTCAGAGCGCCCTCGCTGCATGGCAGGCCTCTCACTCGGTGAGTACACAGCCTTGTGTGCAGCGGGAGTGTTGAGCTTTGAGGACGGGCTTCGTTTGGTCAAACTTCGAGGTGAGGCCATGCAAGAAGCTGCGCAGGTTGGAAAGCAAGCCATGCTGTCGGTGGCAGGTTTGGACCAACCCGTTTTGGAACAGTGCTGCCTGGAAGCTGAGAAGAAAGCAGGCTCTGGCAGTGTCTGCCGCATTGCCAATGCACTCTTTCCAAAGGGCTTCTCGTGTGCGGGAACTGAGGGGGCTGTGAACCACCTGAAGGAGCTGGCTGAGAAGAAGGGTGCTTTGCAAGCCAAGCTGCTGAAAACAGGCGGTGCCTTTCACACATCGCTGATGCAGCCTGCGCAAGAGAAACTTGAGAAAGCGCTTCAAGAGGCACTTCCCAAGATGAATCCACCCAAATGTGATGTCTACATGAACGTCACTGGTGAGAGCTTGCCAGCTGGAACCAATCCAAAGATCATCCTGGAGCTGCTGCAGAAACAGCTGACCAGTCCTGTTCTGTGGTCATCTTCCGTCCAGAAAATGATCAAAGATGGTATCACGGATTTCTACGAATGTGGGCCACAGAAACAGTTGAAGGCAATGATGAAGAGGATTGACAACAAGGTTTGGAACAAGACTCAGAGTATTGAGGTGTAGGGAAGGGCATTTTTTGAGGGAGATCTTTCTTGTGTCGACTCCAGCCACTGCGAAGTGATCCAAGGGATGGGGACAAGAGCCCATCTGTTTTTCCAAAGCACTCGGCTTACCCTCAGCTTTCGCAGTGAAATTTCTCAAAGCAAAGTGGGGGCGGGATGGCGCATCAAAGTGCACTTGCAGAAGCCCACCTTGCACAAGGAAGAGATATGAACCGTGCCTGTCCCCAGGACATCAAGGTAGTTGCTCCGCGTGAATCTCAGGGTCTTCTGGACATGTGCTGGACACGCCACATGTGACCCAGGTTTTGCCCACCAAGCTTGTCCCAATGTAGGAGACCGTAAGAGATCGGACAGAATTTGCCACAGACGAAGCTCCCCAAATCCAGCTGCACTTAGGAAACCACGACCAAGAAAAGGCCGACGACGGAGAAGCAGCGCAAGGGAAAGGGACAAGGCCATCGGTCATCGCAGTTATGACATGGTGTGACGAACCAAAAAAACGTGCATCATGAGGCTCAGATTGAAGATTTCTTTCATTGCGAAGCCATAAGTGGCCATGTTGCTAGGCTCTAGTAACGCATTTGATGGAAGAAGGAGGTGCCTTCTGCACACTTGAGACGTTCTCTGATATCAGATGTCTTAAGCATCATTTCAGAGTCCAGCTCCTGCCAGCTCCCAGCGAATGTCATTCCTGGCATTTGGCCCAGGTTTTGGCTTTGAGGACCCTTGCACCATTCAGGAATGCTGGTGTTTTCAAGATTTCATATGCAACACGCATGAACACACGCGAAACCCAATCGTTGTGGTTTTGTATGTGCCCATATACATGTGGGGACACACACGTAGAGATAGACACACACACACAGATGTACGTGTATAATTGTGTATAATATATATATATATGTCGATGCCAGCTGTCGCATGCATGTGTGTTTTCCTGTTGCAGGCATGTGCAACATAGCATTTCACCATCCCCCACTGTTTTGGGCTCACAGGGCGCCCTTTGAGTGGCACGAGGCTACATGGCGGATCAACCGCATTGAGACCGAGAAGGAAAACAACTGCTGCCCATCCGCAACTTCGTGCGTGTGCTTGGGAGATCTGGTTTGGGTACGGGTTCCTCCTGATAATCCCCTACTACCAGATCGATATTGGTAGCGGAGCCCAATCTGGGCTGCCGCAGGTACTTCGGCCTGAACTTGTTCATCACCCTTGCCTTGGACTTCGGTGGCAACGATGGTGGGTGGACAAGCATCAGCCGGTGCCAACAACTCTGGAGGAGCTGCAGTACCAGGTGGACCTGCTGGTGCTACGACTGGCCCTCAGAATGGTGGAGCGACAGCAAATGGAGCACAAGGTGGTCAAAACGAGTTCACTCGTGGTTTGGACTCAGGTTTGGCCAAAGCAGCACCATCTGCTGCTGGACTGACACAGTCCACGTACAGGTCTTTCAGAAGGAGACTTGACCTGTTCAGCCGACAATGTAGAAGACGAGGTCAAGGAGTAGCTCTTGAAGGAGCTTATCTAGTTCTTTCACAACTACAAGACGTAGCATGGGAAGCAACAGAGGGATTGGACTATGATGACATGGAGCTGAGTGATGATCCCTTCAAACCCTTGCTGGTCGTCTTGGACAAACTTTTTCAACATGAAGAAGAAGTAGAACTCCCTGAACAATGCCAAGAGTTCTTTGAGAAGTTTGCCCGAGAACGAGGTGAAGAACTACAAGCCTACTTGGTGAGGCATCAGTCGATGCTTCGAAAGCTGAAAGAGCTCCAGGTGGACATACCACCCCTTCTTGCTGGTTGGCATCTGCTGCAAAGGTCTGGAGTGCCGCGGTGGACCCACGTCCAGGTCAAAGCGATGTGCAACGGAGACATGTCAGTTGACCGGGCTTCCAAAGCTTTGATCCGAATGTTTGGCGGTGACAGCAAGCCGAACGCCAAGGACACCATCCTCAAAGGTGAGATTCACTATATGGATACCGAGTATGATGACCTTGAGGACTATGGCTTTGACGATGTCTACTACCAGGATGATGACGCCTACACCTATGGCTATGACCCTGACTATGACGACACCATTGATGAGGTGGAATACACAGGTGAAGCTGACGAGGGCATCCCGCAGGAGCTTGATGAAGCCTCACTTGCAGTGGAGGATGCATTCATCAACTACTTGGACTCTAGAAAGAAAATGCGGGAACTCGCTCTCAGCCGAGGTTTTTACCCTGTGGTTGCCATCGGCATGGATGACAATGGTGGTGCGTTCAAGGGGCGTGGAAAAGCCTCTGGTGGAAAGGGCAAGTCAAAAGGAAAAGGCCGTGGAAAGAGCAGCGGAGGAAAAGGCAAATCTGCTGGAAAAGGACACCCTTTGCCTGGTGCACGACGATACGTTTTTGGACGTCGGCGTGCAGGTGAATCTACATCAACTGCTTCGACAACGGCATCTGCAAAGTCCACAACCAGTGGAAGCACGTCTCAGCATGGCCCAAGATTCAAGCGCTACAGGCTTCCAGCCAATGGCATTAAGGAAGTCCCTGATGAAGTCACCATGGTGGAGGACAACTTCGTCAGCGAGGTGAATCAGATCCCTGTTGACTACACCACCCATGAGAGCATCAACTTTGTCAGCCAAGCTGTTGGTTGGGCTATCATGGACAGTGGAGCTACTCGCACAGTCTGTGGTGAAGCCAGCTGGAACAAGATCTTGGACTACCTCAGCTTGAGGAACATGGAGCCTGACATCGACAAGGAGACAAAGGATTTCAGGTTTGGAGATGGTGCCATGGTGAGATCGCTTTTCAGAGCGATGATCCCTGTCTGCGTTGGCAAGACCTGGCGACAACTCATTGTGCACGTCCTTCCAGGACACACCCCTTTGCTCTTGGCACGCCCAGATCTTGAATCTTGGCAGACGGTGGTGGACTGTGGAAGAAAAACTGTGATGATCGGTGATGTGCAGGTGAAGCCAGCGTTCACAACCAACGGGCACTACATGATCAACATCTTTGACGACCTTGAGGACGTCTTGAGCTTTGCAGAGCTGGACAACATCGACGTTTCTGTGGAGACCTTCGTGGATTCAATGATCACCGATGAGGTCTCTGACTTTGAGGCCGATCTTGACGTCGAGGTGTCAGAAAAAGAAGCGGAGGAGTTTGTCTTCGCTGCAAGTATGAAAAGCCAACAGCACGAGCGCAAGCTCAAGTTTTGGGAAGTCTACGTGGATGAAGGGAACCTGAGCAAGTACCTGCAACGAGCATATCATGATGTGGAGGTCCGGCAGTTTTCTCTGCCAACTTGGAACTTTGAGATGAAAGAGCAACAAGCCGCTTTTCGACGTCTTGTTGAGCAAGAAGAACCTCATCACATCATGGTGACTCCTGAATGTCGTCTCTGGTCACCAATGCAGAACTTGAACTACAGAACACCCGAGAGACGGGAACTGCTCAGAGATTTGAGGGTTTTAGAAGAAGAGACCCACCTGACCTTCTACAAGGACATCCACATCGACGGCAAGCGCCTGGTCTATGACACAACTTTTGAGAACCCTGCAGACGCAGCTTCATTCGAAACCCCAACTTTGGACTCCATGAAGGGCTACTTTGAGACAGTCCTGGATCGCTGCCGCACAAAGCTGAAGGCAAGTCCTGAGGACGAGATGTATGTGAGAAAGCCTACAAGGTTTCGATCAAGCTCAAGAAAGGTCTGTGAGGCTGCGAACTTGCGTTGTGAATGCCCCCGAGGAGCTCATGTCCAAATGATGGGACGCGGCTCTGTCCTCAAGAAGATGCAGAACTACGAGCCTGAACTTTGCCAACGTCTTGGCAACGCCATCTACTCTGCAATGGAGATGGCATGGAAGAAACGAGGACAAGCTGAGCTGATGACCATGGAGGTCGTCGAGAAATCGACTGAAGAGATGCAGTACCTGGAACAGAACAAAGAGCTCATCAAGATCGATGGCCATGAGATCCTGAAGTCGGTGGCCAATCTCCATCGACAACTTGGACATCCAAATGGAGCCAAGCTGGTTCTGGCGGTGAAGGCACGACACCTTCCCAATGAATTTGTCCAGGTGGCCCGGAGGTACAAGTGTCCGACCTGTTTGGCCAGGGCACAACCCAAGAATGTGCGTGTGGCGACTTTGCACAAATCCCCACACTTCAACCACTCCGTGGCCATCGACACCTTCTATGTGGAATGGGATGGCAAACAGCGTGCGGTCTTCACCATCATGGATGAGTTCAGTCGCTATGAAGTTGACATGGAGATCAAAGAAGAGACGGCTGACATGGAGATAGCTCTCTTCGAGTCAACTTGGAGCCGATCTTTTGGGTTCCCAAAGGTTTTGCGACTGGATGCCTCTGGTCCTCATCAAGGGCAACAATTTGCCGATTGGGCATCTGCCCATGGAATGTACATGGACCTGATCCCACGAGGTGCTCATCACAGGCTTGGAATCCTTGAACGGAATCATGCAGTCCGACGACGCATGCTGGAGATCTTCCACAAAGACATGCCCGAGCTGGACTTTGAACAAGCCATCTTGGTGACCTGCCATCAGAGAAACCGTTTGTCTTCGGTGAAAGGTGCCACGCCTGCCACTTTGGCATTTGGCTACGTTCCCTCCGAAGGAGGCAATGCTGATGACCCTGGACCCGAACAATTTGGTGACTCTGCTGACTTGGCGCAGGTCATGGAAGTCAAACAGAAGGCTGCACAGGCCTTCCACTCTGCCAACTTTGACCTGGCGGTTCGATCAGCCGCTTTGGCTCGATCACGTGTGGATGAGGACGAGCTCATGGTGGGAGACTATGTCTACTACTGGAAGCCACAAACCCACAAGCTCGACCCTTTCAGGTGGCGTGGACCCGCGATGGTGGTGTCCGTGGAAGCCTCAATTGACCGAAAGACCATGATCTACTGGATCGTCCATGGAAGCTCACTGGTGCGAGCAACACGACAGCAGCTACGCTTTGAGACTGTCCCTGAGCGCTACGAGCGTCAGAGCAAGCCTGCCTACCTTGAGAGCGTGCAGAAACCTTTGCAACAACGACTTTTGGAAGCTCTCAAGCCAGTGCGTGGTCCAGTGAGGGCCATTGACATTGCTGGCAAGGCTCAGTCTCCTGACGATTTTCCTCAGCTTGGGGGGACTGGAGCAGCCGCTGTCGCACCTGGTGATGCCCCTCCACATGAACCACATGAGCCTCCTGACCCACCGAAAACTGATGACAAATCAAAATCGAAAACTGCAACTGCAGAACTTGACACTCCCGGCAAACCTGCCGACAAGTCCAAAGCTCGGCCGAAGGCCAAGCTGCCTGAACCCCGAATCGACTTTTGGGTCGACTACCCCGACAGTGAGAAAACCGAATCTGAATCCAAGACCACTGACAAGACTCTCTTGGATGAGATGGTGGCCAACAAGGACAAGAACCTGGATGACCACACTCAAGGCATGACCGACATCCAGAAGGAGATGAAACGGAAGCTGGAGGAAGAACATCCGGGCATCATGGACTCCTCGCATGGGGTGATCGACAGGCAAGATGATGAACCACCTGTGAACCCTGATGATGTGAGCGTTCGAGCCCGTGACAGACGTTTCTATGAACAAGCAGTGCGTGCTGCCAGTTTCCTCTCCCACGAGAACAATCGACGACTGGATGGACTGCCTCCTTCCGGACGACAACTGCCTGCGAATGCTGCCGCACAAGCATCACGACCTGCTGCAAATCTGGTGCCTCCCAGAGCTGACGATGGTCAACCGAAAACCAAGCAACCTCGAACTGAGGAAGTGCGCATGGTGGAGGTCCCTGAGGATGAGGTCATGATGGCGGTCGTGGAGAGTCGGTTGTCTGCCGATGAGAAAAGAGCCTTCACAGAGGCAAAGCGCAAGGCCCTGGTCCCATGGCACGAGAACGATGCTTGGAGGCCCTTCAAGAGGACAGCCTGCCCTCCTGGAACCATCGTGCCGATGAGGTTTCTCTTGCGCTACAAAGAGAACAAGCCACATGCTCGAGTCATTCTCCAAGGCTTCAAGCACAAGGATGTCATCGAAAGCAAGCTCGACACCGAGTCACCCACAGTGTCGAGACTTGGCAAGTACCTGATGGTGACGCTGTCTTGCGTCAAGAGATGGAAGCTTGCCACCATGGATGTGAAGTGTGCATTTTTGCAGTCGGACTACATCACCGAGGAGGTGGAGATCTATGGTGAGCCCTCAGCTGACATGAGACGCTTGTTGGCTGAGATGATGGGACTTCAAGAACATCAGGTGATGCAGATGACGAAGCCTGTCTTTGGAGATGTCAGAGCACCCAGACAGTGGAACGAAACGGCCGATCGTGCGTTGATCCACGAGGCCAAGCTGTGGAAGCACGAGCTCGATGGCTGCATCTACATGTCAGTCAGACTGGCAGTGGATGGTGACCCTCCTTTTGAGGTGTTCGAGCACGAGGGCAACAACTATGTGGTGGACGGTGTCTTCTGCATCCATGTGGATGACATTTTGACTGCAGGAGAGGGCGTGCGCTGCAAAGAAGACGCACGGGAGCCCCATGGTGAGCCGACTTGCTATGCAGAGAGACTGCATGTCCTCTTGCATCGCTTCAAGTTTGGCAGTGTCGACTATGGCGACAAGCAAACGTTTTGCGGATGTCAAATGACACAAGCCCTGGACTCTGCCACAGTCACTTTTGACCTGCAGAAGTACATCCACCAGCTCAAGCCCCTCAACATCGAGAAGGCCAGAAAAGCACAACCCAACGAGAAGGCCACTCCGAAAGAGCAGAGCCAGTTGAGAGGTTTGCTAGGTGGGCTAGCCTGGCCTGCCAACCAAACGCAACCACACCTGGCAGCGTCTGTGTCCCTGGCTCAGGCCGCTTCTGCCAGCGCAACTGTTTCTGAGTTGCTGGAAGCAAATAAAACGTTGAGGTATGCCAAAGAAAGCTCAGACGTGCACTTGGTCCTCAGAGGTCACGGACGTTTGGCAGAGATCCGATTTGGGATCTACAGTGACGCGTCCTGGTGCACCAGACCAGACGGGAGCTCGCAAGGTGGCTGGATCACCTTCGTCGCGACTGAGGCGGAGATCGGTGGCAGCAAGCCTTTCCCCCTCACCGTGATCGACTGGTCTTCACGGAAGCTGACCCGAGTGTGCCGAAGCTCGCTCAGTGCAGAAGCTCAAACTTTGGCAGCTGCAATCGACAGCCTGGAGTGGACCAAAACGGTGTTTGCCCTGATGATCTGGCCAGCTCTTCGACCAGACAATGAAGAGATGATGCGCTGGTTGGGCGACTCACCTTGCATCACTGATGCCAGAGCTCTCTTTGATGCCAGCAACAGCAAGGCCCCTGGGATGAAACTTGCTGAGAAAAGAACTGCAATCGAAATCAAGATGGCATGCGAACGCATGGCTGCAGCTGGAGGAGTGCTCAAGTGGTGCAACAGCCATCAGCAGTTGGCTGATGGGGTCACAAAGGTGTCAGCACGGCAAAAGCTTGCAATGGAGCTTCGACGCCGCATGCACTGTCTGAGATATGATCCTGAGGGAACAGCTTCAAAGAAGGTCAAGCAGAACGTTCGCCAGGACGAGCAAGATTCACTTGATCAAGCTGCTCAGGAGTTCCAAAAACAACAAATGGTGAAGGATGGCATCTACAAGATCGAAGAGATGGAGTCAGAAGAAAAGATGGAGTGCAACATCTGCCTCCTGGACGGCTGTGGTTTGCCAGCTGAAGATGGCAAGCGTTTCTGTTCGAAGCGCCACTACCACGCCGCAAAGCACAAGCAGAGCAAAACAAGCTCAGCCAAGAGCACCGGAGTGATTTGGTGCATGACCCTTGCCAACGAGATCGTGCCCGTGGCTGCTCTTGAGTTTGGGTTTGTGATCTTCCTCAGCTTTGACAAGATCGTCGGGTTCTTCTTTTTCCTGGCCTTTGCCTTGGTGTTTGCGTATACCCTGGGCAAGCGTGCTGGACGCCGAGAAGTCCATGGTCTCATGGCTACGACTGAGCCAGTGGAGACAGCTGAGGGAGAAACACAGGCACCGCCGACACCGCGAACCAGAGCGGTGACTGACTGCCAACGCTTCACGGCAGCTGAGATCTCTTTCCTGCTGGGCGAAGGCTACGAGGTTTGGTCCGATGACAAGGTGGAGCAGATCCGGCGTGACTTCATCGCTGAGTTGCCTCCGTCCATCGAGGACTACCTGCCCCAGTCCGAGATCGACAAGCTGATGGCCGGTGAAGAGACCGCAGCTCAGGTACCAACAGCACCTGAGGAATGGAATGGCATCAGCCGCCAGCAGAGAGAGGAATTGATCCAAATTTTGGACGACAGTCTTCTCCTGGGCGTTCCCTGTGGTGCCATGTGCCCAGAGCTGCGAGATGAAGCACGAGCCCTGCGAGCTCAACTGACGACCGTACGGGTCGTGGAAGGTGAACTACAACCTCTGAGGGTGGTAATGAGTTCAGTGCCAGATTTGCCTGTTGGAACAATTTTGAGTTCCAGCTCTGGCCGTAGCAACGGATAGCTGAGCAGGTACAGACGACATTTTTGGGCCTCTTTTCACTCCAATTTTTCTCTTTTGGGCCTGCGTCGATGCCAGCTGTCGCATGCATGTGTGTTTTCCTCTTGCAGGCATGTTGCATACATGTGCAACAGCCTTCTCACCCGATGCCCGGGCTCACAGGGCGCCCTTGGAGCACAGCAAGGCTACCGGCAGTCTAACTGCTCTTGCGACATCGAGGAAAACAACTACGTGAGACCCAACTGCAACTTAGTGCGTGGAGCTTGGGAGATCTGGTTTGGGTACGGGATCCTCCTGCTAAACCCCTACTACCAGATCGATATATATATATATATAACAAATCCAATTTCCGTATCCAAAATGCTTATATATGTACCGTCAAAATCAATGGTGTCAATCACCTCCTGGCAGCTGAGCCACCACGACGAGAAGCGTTCACCTGGATCGCTTCCAAGGAAACGCTTGCGCAGCTTCCCTCCTGTGCCGAAGCAAGGCGAGAGGAGGTCGATAGAAACAAACAAAGAATACGGATATATCTGAATATGGATGGATATGGATGGATATGGATGGATATATCTGGATATGGATGGATATATCTGGATATGGATGGATATATCTGGATATGGATGGATATGGATGGATATGGATGGATATATCTGGATATGGATGGATATGGATGGATATATCTGGATATGGATGGATATGGATGGATATATCTGGATATGGATGGATATGGATGGATATGGATGGATATATCTGGATATGGATGGATATGGCTGGATATGGATGGATATATCTGGATATGGATGGATATGGATGGATATGGATGGATATGGATGGATATGGATGGATATATCTGGATATGGATGGATATATCTGGATATGGATGGATATATCTGGATATGGATGGATATGGATGGATATGGATGGATATATCTGGATATGGATGGATATATCTGGATATGGATGGATATATCTGGATATGGATGGATATGGATGGATATATCTGGATATGGATGGATATGGATGGATATGGATGGATATATCTGGATATGGATGGATATGGATGGATATGGATGAATATATCTGGATATGGATGGATATGGATGGATATATCTGGATATGGATGGATATGGATGGATATATCTGGATATGGATGGATATATCTGGATATGGATGGATATATCTGGATATGGATGGATATATCTCGATATGGATGGATATATCTGGATATGGATGGATATATCTGGATATGGATGGATATGGATGGATATGGATGGATATGGATGGATATATCTGGATATGGATGGATATGGATGGATATATCTGGATATGGATGGATATATCTGGATATGGATGGATATGGATGGATATGGATGGATATATCTGGATATGGATGGATATATCTGGAATAGGATGGATTATATTTCTGGATGGAGGTATGGATGGATAATATCTGGATATGCGATGGATATGGAGGATATGGAATGGATTAATCTGGATATGGATGGATATGGATGGATATGGATGAATATATCTGGATATGTGGTATAGGATGGATATATTGGATATGGATGGATATGGATGGAATATATCTGGATATGGATGGAGATATCGGATATGGATGGAATATATCTGGATATGGAATGGATACTATTCGTATGGATGGATATATTCTGGATATGGATGATATATCTGGATATGGATGGATCTGGATGGATAGGGATGGATATAATCTGGATATGGATGGATATGGATGGATACTCTGGATATGGAGGATTATCTGGATAGGGAGGATATATCTGGCTATGGATGGATATATCTCGATATGGATGGATATATCTGGATATGGATGGATATATCTGGATATGGATGGATATGGATGGATATGGATGGATATATCTGGATATGGATGGATATATCTGGATATATCTGGATATGGATGGATATGGATGGATATATCTGGATATAAAACTGGATATGGATGGATATGGATGGATATGGATGGATATGGATGGATATATCTGGATATGGATGGATATATCTGGATATGGATGGATATATCTGGATATGGATGGATATATCTGGATATGGATGGATATATCTGGATATGGATGGATATGGATGGATATGGATGGATATATCTGGATATGGATGGATATATCTGGATATATCTGGATATGGATGGATATATCTGGATATGGATGGATATGGATGGATATGGATGAATATATCTGGATATGGATGGATATATCTGGATATGGATGGATATGGATGGATATATCTGGATATGGATGAGCATATCTGGATATGGATGGATATGGATGGATATATCTGGATATGGATGGATATATCTGGATATGGATGGATATGGATGGATATGGATGAATATATCTGGATATGGATGGTATGTATATATATAATATACTATATGATTATACAAAAGGCTATCAATTGTACTATTGATATGACACATTTTTTCAGATTATTACTTTACAATTCATCAAAAGGCGTATCACGTTGCTTACTGATTCCTTGCTTTGCACATCAAAACAGCTGGCAAATGGATGTTTATTCTCAAAGGATGTCTATCCTCCAAACAATCGGGTCAAAATCATCAAGTCTCGACAATGGTTGATTTGATACCGAAAACAACCAGCCAGGGCCGTTGGCTCAGTACTTGTTTGTTTGTACACTTTATATAGCGAAGCAAACAGCTACGTTATGTGTATGTATATATATATATAATACTATAAATCCCCATCGGTGTTGCTTACATCATACTTAACTGGACATGTGGCTGGTCTAAATGGATTAAAGTACCTATTGAAATACCTTTTAAATCCCACAGTTTAGCTGGTCTCCTCCAGTCCCTCCATGTCATCATCTTCCAGCGGCGCACGTAGGTTCTTCACCTAAGCTACTGAGCACACAAAAACCATGGGGATTCAAGTGGTCTTGACAAATATTTGTATATAATTACATGATACCATATATTAGATTATCTCTGATTATATGTGAGGATTAATATTAATAAGATACATATATCGATATTGGATAATATTGATATTTGATGGTGTTTACATATTACTGTAATATATATATATATAAATACATCGAACTGATGAATTCATCACCGTGCGCCTTCTGATTCAACCGCTGCTTCAAAAAAGAGGCGGCATCCTGCGTTGTTTCCCCGGACGTGCCAAATTCGGACCAACATGCTAAAACCAAAGTATTCGCACATCCTTTGTTCAACTAAAACTCAATAAACAAATCGGACACAATGAAATCATCTCACGGCCCAGCAGAAAGCAACATCTCCAAAGATCTCCAAGCTACCTAGCCGCTAGGGACCCCCTTAAAAAAAAGGCATGTGTTTCGTCCTTCCGCAGGGCGGTCTTTTGCTGCTTGACATTGGTTTTCTGTGGTTTGTTCGACGGCTTGTTGTTCACCTGGCATCCAAGCAGCCCATCGCGTCCGGTGAACGTCTGATTCTATTGTTCAAGGGTAGGACTGCAGCCGTGCAACATAAACAATCTGTCCCAAGAGGAGCAGCTTGGGACCGAAAATTCAGCTTTGTGATTAATTAATTGTGATTCCAAAATCTTCAGGTTCTTGTCCTCTCAGGTCTGCCAGCAAACCTATCAAACTCTCAAGTAGGGCCTCCAACAATGTGCTCCGAACATCTCTCCCCCATGCATGGTTCATGTTTTTTCACTAAAGAATTTGTTCACTGTCACATCATTTCATGAACAATCAATCTACGGTGCCTTCTTGATGGCGCTCCCTCCTTTCTGCCTAGGCATCAGGCAGCTTTTGGGTCACGCGAATCGCTCCCTCAAGGTGTGTGGAACATCTGAAAATAGGCAAACCTTCAATTCCATTGGTCAATCTGTTTCCTCACAAGTGGGGGATACCTCAATTTCCGAGATTTATATAGTTATATAGTAATTTACCATCATTTCCCATTATTTATCAATGATCGTTTCGGCCTATCCATTTTGAGACAAAGCCGTGGGTACTCAAGGGACTACCTCCATCAAGTCCGATCCATTGGGGTACCCCCAACTCATCCATTTTAGATTGGGATTTTCCATTAACCATCCAGCAATTGGGTACCATTTATGGAAACCCTCAAATGGACTCCCAACCCAATGAGCGTTACGAGACGTGATTTGAACAAAAACTACATAACTACAATTCATTACACTTCGATCCAGCTGTCCATTGACCTTTGAATTTCCTTCTCTGGAGTTCTTATCACTGAATGCGGACTAAATCAAAAAATGCCTCAAGTACGCAGTTGGAACAACATTAAATCTAATCACAGTCAATCTGTCCTGTATATTCCTGTATTGGTTGGTATATATATATACGTATGAACTCACGTCACCTTTGCTACATCAAACAGTCTCTCCTTGCAGGGAACCAATTGCCGCGGTTCTTGTTTAGAAATTTAATAATTATACTAATCACTAGTCACCCAGTCATGCTAATATGCGCACCAAATATCCATAG